TGACAGAGATGGGTCACACACGGGGAAGCCAAGCACGGTAGATTTACTGGGGTGAAACCTGCAGGTGAGCACAGCACACGTATACAGAGCTCCAGGCAGCGACCCCCCCGGCACCAGACACCAAAGTAGCAAGGGCTCGGGGTTGCGGCTTTGGAAAGTTCTCTTGGAAATCAGAGGGCAGCTTTGGTGCTCAGAGATTCAAACAGAAAACTATACAAAACCAACCCATAAATATATATTATATATTATATATGTGTATATATATAAAATTGCAAAATAAAAGCCCAAGAAACTAATCATCCATCTGCACATCAGTGGCTCAAAAAAGTGTTAGCAGAGAGAAAGGCAAAACCGTCTGTGTGGGGGGGTGGGGGGACGGGGGGGTGCATGATGGGGTTGGGGGGGGGCTGGCATCTCAATAGCAGAAAGTATTTACATGGAACCCCTATGTGAAACCTCACAGTCACTAGGAAAAACCAGCACGCGGACAGAATATGTATAGGGAAGACGATTGTCAGACACAGACACAGTCACCGAGACCATCTACAGCTCTGAGGACTCACACATCTCTCTAGTCCCCGCTCCTACCTAGCCAGGGGGTCCAGGTCCGCACCACACCTCCCGCCATCTGCAGGACCAACACTGCAGATCACAGGGATCTACAGGTGGCGCAGCTCACGGAGTCAACCTCCCACAGAGCAGGCCCAGTGGGCACGAGGCGGAGGGCCGGGGTGAGGTCCCTGGCATGCAGCAAGGGCTTCAGTACATAGAACTGCTGCCCTCTGTCCCTCCAGCCTTCTTTCTCCCTCCACGTTCCAAGGGAAGATGTGACCTTGGAGCCTCTCAGGGTTACTTAGGAAGGAAAAGACATTTGATTCTTCTCCGGCCATTCTACACCCCCTCCCATGTTGCAACCCCCCCACACACACACCCAGAACCCCCCTGCAATTCCTCCCTTTTCCCCTGTCACCACATCCACATCCCAGCCAGCCTCCCCCTGCCCTGCCACCCTGTGGCAGGGGCCAGTGCCGGGACACAGCTGCTCCAGGACAACCATAAGGTCTGCCCCACACAGGCTGGGGACCAGCCTCCCCAAGAGCCTCCCTGCCTCTCCTCCCTCTGCAGACCCTGCCTCTCACAGCAGTCATCTAGCTTCGAGGCACACCTTACAGGCAAAAGGCATTGGACATGAATTTGGCAAAACCTAATGCCACCGAAGCATGAGCCACAGCAAACCATGCTTCTGTGCTTCCAAGGATACCTGCTACCTGGGATTTTTGTCTTGGTTTTGAAAAGGGAAGTCTATCTTTTTTTTCTTCTTTAAAATGCAAGGAATTTTCTGTACTAAGGGGAGTTCCCCTGGGGTCCTGGGGAGGAGACCTCACCCGGGGGTCAGACCTCATGTGTACTCTCATATCTGGAAGGGAAAAAAAAAGCGCCTTCCACACCCAAGAAGATGTGGCCTTTACACAGGCTTCTGGAACCTTCTCTCCAGGCACATGCTTCTCCCAGGGTGTCACACGTGATACTGTGTGCAAATAACACACAAGCGTCTGGTGTTCGAATCAGTTCAGGACTCTGAGGCCTCGGATGAATTCACCCCTTTTGGGAACCGATGTGGAACTGTTGCCATACGGGTGGGGTCACCAGGTCTTGAATTGTGGGGGGACCTGGGGGAGAGGCATGGAGAGAAGTCTCCTTTCTCACTTCTCAGACTCTTTGGGTGTCATTGTCTCGGAGGGTTTTCTGAGGCTCAAGGAAGGGGTGAGCAAAGAAGTCAGACTTGTTCCCCCCAAGTCGCCAGTCCTGGGGCCCACCCGCCCCAGGGCTTCTGCTGACCCACACGAGTCCCATAGGTCAGTGTCCCCAGGCTTTCTGAGGCAGTCACGTCACAGGCTGACAGCCCCTGCTCTGGCCACACCCTCCGTGCTCTGTGAGAGCACAGGCCAACCGTCCTGTGGCTCACAGGCCAACAGTGGCTCCAGTGTCCAGCTGCCCCTATGAGTACCAGGGCAACCGTTTACTGGACCTGTGTCCTGAGCCAAATCCTCCCAACTCCTTTGTAAAAAGAACTTGTCTGTCTGCAGAGAAAAAAATCATCCTTTTCGTGAGAGGAGAGTCGGGGAGTTAAGAAGTCCCATATAAGAAATTCCATGGAACCTGGAGGAAATCACAGCTTCTTGGGCGCCTGTAGGCCAGGGGGCGCAAAGGGAGCCTGACTATCCCTTGGGGCACCTTTCTCAGTTAGAGGAGGGTCACATGGTGGGGATAGTTCCTTCCACCGACAGCAGGCCAGGCTCACCTCTCTGCAGCTTCTTCCCCCCTCCCCCCCCCCCCCCCCCCCCCCGCTTCCTCCTCATCCTACTCTTCTTCCCATGGAAACAGCCATGACACCTCTCTACTCCCCACAGGGCGGCCAAACCAATAACTTGGGGCAGCTTTTTCCATCCTATATTTGCAGTCGATTCAAGCAGCAGCTTTACTAGATGGGAACCTATTGCCTACTGCTTCTGAGATGCCCATACACACACCTACTCCAGGTACAAGTCACAGTTTCTGGCCCACATGTACCCAGAGTCCCAGAAGGTGCCCTTGGGCTCACCCTGCATGCCTGTGATCTGGCTGGGCCACACTTCTGTGTCCTCAGCAATCAGTGCCCAGGCCTGGCCCTTAAACCTTGGGCTGAGCATGCCCCTCATCCACCTGGGAAGAGGGACTCAGCAAACGACCGACAGCACACCTGTACCAAGACAAACACAGAGCTGGAACCTGCCTAGCATCTGTTCTCAGAACATTGCTTTGTCCTTGGAAATCCCTAAGAAGCCATATCCAAAGACCTTGACGCTTAATTCTGCGCTGGAAAGGAAGATGTGGTGGCAGGCCAGTCACCAAACACGTTTCAGGACTGACAGTTCAGGAAGGCCTGTTCCAAAGGGTATCTCCTGCTTCCCAACCATTCTCCACTCAGTCGCCAGAAGGGTTGTCCTCTGAGGCAAGTTGGATCATGACTTGACCCCAACCCAAGACCCTCAGCGGCTCCTTGTGCCATCAGTCTCGCTCCTGCATGCTGTGCCAGTTTCCAAGTCACCTCCACCCAGCAGACAGAAGCTCAGGCCCTCCAGCCCCCACCCCCCCACCTTACACTTGATGATTGAACTGTACAAAAACGTTCAGCGGGCTCGTTGTGGCGTTTTCTGCTTTCAGGTCTTTGCACGTGCTCTTCCCTCATCGTGGAATATCCTGCCAACCCTTCATCCTTCTGGAAAATTCCTCATTGTTCTGAGACTCTTAACGCATCCATTACTCATTTCAGGAAGGTTTCTCTGGACTAATAAATCATTAGCTCGCTTGTGCCGCATCATGCCCTTGCCTGTTTTGTAGCTTGTATCCAAGTCTCCCATATTTACAAACTTCCTGAAGCCAGGGCTTATGTCTGGCCCAAGACCCAACTCACAGATGATTTTCAAATGAACAAATAGATTACTACACAGCACACCCATGGCATGAACCCCATGGACAACACTCCAATAAGGGCCGGGCACTTTCTCCTAAATGGAGCCTCATCACCTAGGCTTACTGTGGTGAAGGGAATTAAAGGAAGTTTGTGGAACGCCATCTGAGCAGCAGCCTCTCACGCAGAGAAAGCTGCATCGGCAGCAACGTCTATGCCACCCTTGGTGCCCACTGCTTCCGCTGGTTATCTCAGTCTGAGAGTTCACTTCCTTCCAGTGTCAGGACATGCCTGGTGCTTAATGGATGCTGAACAATTATTATGATGGGATGGTGGATGAGTGGGAAGCTAGTTTTTTATAAAGAAGGCAGCAAAGGCATTTATCCTGTCACAGATTCCTCTGAGGCATTACTGGCCCTGACCACTTGGGCTGTCCATAACTAGACGTGACCCAATCAGAGAGAAGAACAGAGAGAGGGGACCTACCTGGGGATGTGGCTAGGACTCTGCATGACAGGGGGGATAGGTTCAGCTCTTCCTCATGCTCATGTCAATTTCTCCTTTCTCAAAACATAGGCCAATTTTGATGCCATTTACCATCTCACCCCCAAAACTCTTGCCTCTCCTTTGTCAGAGATTACCCTGGCCTCACCACAGTGTTGGTGGATGGGGACTTAGCATGCACCATGAGGGATGGTAAAGGGTGAGGGGTTCCCACTTTCCCCTCCACAAAGCAGTGGACACCAGTCACAGAAATGGGTCCTGGACTCGACAGAGCCTTTAAGAGCAAAAGTTCTAGACTTGAGGGACCTGGATTCGAGCTCTGGATCTTTCCAGCCAGGTCACCTGAAACCAAGCTCCTCTTAGAAGTCTCTGTTTCCTTGCCCATAAGGTGAGACTCATCTTAATCACATCACAGGATTCTCATTGGGGAGGGGGGGGGGGAGATTACAATAATGTAGAGAAGTCTGCACAGTGTCTAGCTATATACAGTAAGTGCTCTAACATGGAAAACTCTGATTAAGAACTTGCAAAAATAGTTTTACACTAATCAAGACAAAAGGGGGAAATATTCTTTGAAGACACTGTGCTTTAAGGAGGATGGATTGTCTATTTTGGGGGTGCCAACAGTGCTCATTAATCAATGTCCCATGGAATAATAGGAAAGGCTGGTGTTGGCATCTAAAACAATAACTGTGGCTATGACCACACTCCGGGATAAACAGTGACAGGGCCAGGGAACCCTGAATATTTCTCTGCTAGCTGGTCCATGGGGATTCATCCTAACAGATTCTTTTCACTGTTCTCTGAGGGATCCCAAACGATTGAGTTAGAACCTGGGGGTGAAGGTGCTAGGGTGAAGCTGTCAGGTTCTAAGCCGTGGCTGCTAGGTTTGAGGGATGAGCAGAGGACCCCTGACAGCCGGGCGGGTGGGACGGGAGGAGTCGCATTGCTCCATGTGTCACACAAAGCTCAAAGGCCTAGAATGTACTTCCTGTGCTGCTTTGATCAGGGAAGTATCAAAACTTCCCCCAAATTTCCACCCCGAGCACGCGGCCCCTTCTTTCTAAGCTCACTTTCTTTCTAAGCTGTTCTTTGAAGGAAACTGAGATGCACACTTCCACTGGGGTGAGTTTCTGGCTCCTTCTACTGGGGAAACAATCCCCAACCCTATGACTGGCTGGGCTTGCCCTCTGTCTGCCAACTCCTTCATCGTTCATTCGCGAGGTTCCATGAAGAAAGCTCAGGGTTAGTGGTTGAGGAAGCACAAGCTAAGCCATCAGCCCTCAGGCATAAAGATTAACTTCGATTGGCAGGGAAAGGGTCAATTTTTCTGGTTCCTATGAGCAGCAGGGTTGGGACTCTGGAAAAGAGAAGAGACCTGGAAATGTTGTAATGGCTCCATCGGCAGGAGATTGGATTCCCGTGGGGAAAAGGCCAGTGCTCAGAGGGAAGCCACCATCCGTCTGGCCTCTCTGACCTCTGAGAGCTGGCTCCCTTCCTCTGGCCTGCCTGCCAGGCTCAGAAACAGCAGGCAGCATCCCCACTCGGCAGTGTTGTGTAGTGGAAAGTGCTGGACTGGGAGCTGGGAGACCCAGATTCCAGCACAAGCTCTACCACCAACCAGCAGTGTAACCTTGGGAAGTCACCTGATTTCTCTGGGATGATTGTAAAATGAGGGGTTGGATGAGTGATCCCTAACGTTTCCCCCCCAAGGTTGTGGTCCAGGGTCCTGTTCTACCCCCTCCTTGGCCCCGTGCTTCCAGGAACAGATGAGAGAAGGGAGGGATGGGGGAGGGGGAGGAGGATGCTTATAAACGGGAGCCCCACAGTGCTACGAATCAGGACTCCACTTTCTCCTTCTTTTTGCTCTTTTTCAGGAAGGATGGGGTTCGGAATTTCTTTTTCTTCTTCGAGGGAGACTTGGAAGGTGAGCCCTCTGGAGACAGGGGGCCGCTGGTGACCGACTCGGTTTTGTCCTTGGAAGCATCAACATCCGTGTCGGCATTGGTGGTCATCTGGCTCAAGCCTTTGCTGAGAACTTCCTCGGCCGTCTGCTCCTCCTCTCTCCCATTCACCACCACCCCTTTGGGCTGCGTTGTTGGGGGCTCTGTGGTGGCTTGGCTTGTTTCTGTCTTCTTAGCACCTTCTAGAAAAAAAAGATCAAAAGGCGTGGCCCATCAGATTTCATTCTGGCGGGAGCTTCTACCTGGGGTTGACAGAACCATTTCTAGGCAATTCCTTAACCTACATCCAAAAGTACTGGGAAGGCAGGACTGGCATTCTAAAGCACAGGGCTGGTGCTCATCCAAACTCGAACCCTCCTCTAGATGACTGTCGTGGGGAACAAGCCCTTGGCAGGTCAGTAACATTGTTTGTTAACAGATGGAAATAGGTAATGACGTCCAAGTCAGGCAGAGGTTTAGTAAGGGTCCCTGCCCAAACATTTCCAGCACAAAAGAGGGGAACAGACACCAGCAAGGTGAGAAGCTGACAGGAGGGGGAGAGTGGGACCTCGGACAAGTCAAAGGGGCCTGCAGTCTGGTTCAGCTTCACTAATGAGAAGAACAGAGGAATGACATGTTTTCATACCCGCTTAATTTTCTATACAAGTGAGGGACTTCTGAAAACCTGGACAGTATGTTCACAGGGGGCTGTGAGAGAAGTAGGGAACAGGGGGAGAGAACCTAATGAGATGCCCCCTATGTTCAAGGTCAGGACTACTTGGACCCCACATACAGTTGCCCTTTCTCCTGCTTCCCACTCTCATCCCCCCTACTTCCACTCTCACTTTCTGCCCTGTCTGGGGTATAGGGAGTAAGGGACTAGATGTGGAGGGCTGAAATGCAGCAAAATCCATAAAAAGGGGGCGGGGGGTGAGGATAAGTGGAATCTTATCAGGAAGAGGGCCATTCGGAAGAGACGGTACTTGGTAACCAAGGAAAGGATTGTGTCAGAGAGTACGGCTGACCTTTCACCCTGCCAGTGAGCCTAGCCAACGAAGAGCTCAGAGATGAACACACAGGTGCTGGATCTCCCCTACAGCATAGGGAGGGAGGATGCCAGTGCAAGGCCCAGAAACAGGCTTCTCTGACTCGCTGCTGTAATCAAGCCCAAAGGACTTATTATTAACCTAGACCCCAAATGCATGGGGCCTTAGTGACTGCCTAACACTGAAGCCACTTCCACGAGGCCTGTGACACCACATGGACAAGGCAAAGATAGGCTCCCTAAAGGCCTTTTGAGTTTTTACAATGAAAGATCTGTGACTGCGTTCAAGCAGCAGCACAAAAAGAACAGAGCACTGAAAGAACAGAGCAGGGGAACAGAGAACTGGCCAACAGAACTGCATTATGGCCAGTCAGTGAACTGCTGATGTAGAGACGGATGCTGTGTTGTGTCTGTCTGGGTATAAATTCTCCAACACCAATGTCAGAAGGAATCAGTGTCTGAAAGACTGGTGAGCAAGCCTTCCCAGTCTTATTCCAATGACAAATTTTGAGACAGAAATTGTGTGTGTGTGTGTGTGTGTGTGTGTGTGTCTTCTTGGCAACACTAAGATAGGCTGCTGCCTGGGTCGCATGTTGGGAATCATGGACTGAGAATGTCTACCCCATATTTATTTCCTCCAGAAACTAAGACAGCATTACTCACAGCCAACAAAGTGTGACTTCTGGTAAGGAAGACCAGAAGACTCTCTGTGACTCCCATCCAGTCACCATGGTTGAGACACAAAAGTTCCACTGAGAATCCATGTAGTAGCTAATACATTAAGATGTGTGATTCTTTCCCATACTGAATCTGGGCCAGCCCTGTATCTCAGAGGATACCAAGGGGAAGCAGTATAAATGCCACTGAACTGGCCCAGACCTAAGACTTAAGAATTAAGAAGGCCTAGTGGTTTCTGCCCTTTATAGTTTAGGGGATCCCTGATGAAAATACATATGAAGAGGCCCTACAACCACACAGAGGATAGAGGGAAGGAAAGCGAGTGAGAGACAGAGAAGAAACCTAGTCAGCCCAAGATCCCAGCCTTCAAGCTGCCCCTGTCAAGACACCTGACACATGAGTCAGGTTAGTTGTTCTCCCAGCTGACATCAGTGAAGTGGAAAACCATCCTGCTGAGCCCGGTCAATGCCCAGAATGACTGATTTCCATTAAATATGTTCTCATTAGACACCAGGATTTAATAATTATCTACTATTGCATAACCCTGAGAACAAAGTAAATGATAAGAATGAATTATAGCAGCACATGACTAGGTCCTTTTATATTCATTAGCCGATTCTATCCTGATACCAATGCTGTGTATTGGGAAGGGCAAAGATTGGCATTATTCTATAATATGCTATATTCTAACATGATATTTTTGGAGATAGCTACACAAGTAAGTGGCAGAGCCAGTCTGATATCAAGTGCAGGGCTGTATTTCTAATTGTGCATGTGTGTATGTGTGTGTGTGTGTGTGTGTGTGTATGTATGTGTGTGTGTGCAGGCTTAGTCCACATCCCCCAGTGGGGCAATTAAGAGATGGAGTCAACATGAGTGGGAGATGATGGTGAGAGAGATGACCAGCCATGAAGAAAGAGGATCTGACTCTCCTTCAGATAACCTTGCGGGGAATGAGGCAGGGAGACAGACAAGGAATGACACTGGGGTGACTCAGCACAATGTTTTTCAAGCAAAACGACAAACGATGAGAAAGCAATGCCTGGACCAAAGTGTGAGCTGAATGAAAGCAAAGATGTTGCACCAGTGGTCTGTCAGTGCTTCTTGGAGACTCTAGCAAGCCCTGAGCAGCAGTGCTGTCCCCACTGGTCACTCATGCCTCAGCCTTTGGGTCTGCTCTAAGGAGGCCACACTTGGAGCTCTGTTGGCTACGTAGGAAGACTCGCTTTTCTAACAACTCCAGCCCAGTGTGCCCAGAGAGAAGCAGGAGTCCTGTATGCGGTGAGAACAGGTCAGGCCAGGGGTCCTCAACCTGTTTCTACCCCTCCTTTCGCCCCATCAGCTGAGCCGCAAACTCCTCTCCAAAAGGATCCCAGGAGCTGACATGGAATCTCCCTTGTCCCACGCCTGCCACAAGCCTCCTCTCCAAACCAGATTTCCCGTCTGCAATAGGTGCACATGCATCCCTCACAGGCATGACCCCAAGGCCAGTCACTCGGGCCCACAACCCTGGGAGAGGACGGGGGAGTCATCAGGGTCCATGCATTAGTAACAGGGAAATGGGTGCATTCCCAGGGATCACAGCACCCCATCACAGCAAGTGCCCAGCAGCCGGCCCACTGCCCACTCACTGTGGGGCTTGTTGCTTCTGAGGGGGCACGAGGAGGGGGGGTTTCGTTGTGGGTTTGTGCACGTGTGAGTCCTATGTGCGTGGATCAGAGAAGGGAAGCCTTGTCCATGCACAGCACACGTGAAACTGGTCATGAATGTTATAGCCAGGAAACCTCCAGAAGGTGGGGGGTGTGAGTGGCAAAACACAAACACGGGAGGAAATGTCTTTCTTGTGAACAAACTCTCCCTCCCCCACTGCGGGTGCTGGAGTGAGTTAGTCACGCGCCTCTCTATACTTACTACACAGACAAGTACTCAGAATCGGAGGAAACTCCTTTGATGAAGGCACACGTGGGGAGAGAAAGGGAGACAGGCAGACAACACCACGATGAGACACAATGAACAGTCAGGGACATCTGCTTGGGTTCTGGCCTCAAGCAGATGGGTTTCTTCTGGCAATTCAATTCAGGAGGCCGCTGGGGGTGGGGCGAGGGGGTGCCAGCAGCATCCACAAGTGTGGTCCTTCCACCCAGGAGGGAGAAGATTCCAACCGGCCCCAGCACCTGCTCTCTGGTGAGGGCAATGGGGGCCCCAGGGGAGGAGTGGGTGTGCCCAGGAGGAGTCCAGGACTTCATGGCTGCGGTAGTGTGGACTGAATGGTAACATCATCACCATATGTGTAGTGTTAAGCTGAACTGAAAAGACATCTTATGTTTTTTTTTTTTCTTGTTTAAGTTTTGGGCCACGGCCTGAGGTGCTCAGGGTTTATTCCTGGCTCTATGCTCAGGGATCATTTCTGGCAGGACTCAGGGGGTCATCTGGGGGTGCCAGAAATGGAATTTGGGTTGTCCATGTGCTAGCCAGGTTGGCCTGTCCCCTGTACTATTACTCCAGCTCTCTTTCTTTTGCTCTTTCAAAGCATATTGGGAATATTAGTAGGCTTGGCAGATAAGTAAATGCAGGCAAAGAGATGGCTTGGCTTTCTAAAATTAGTAGTTCTTATTAGTTAGCAGCTGAATTGGCCTAGAACCCCACTGGTAGCTAATGAAGTGGTGCTTGGCCTGGGCTCTCAGGCGCTCCTGGAGAGATCTTACAGCTCCAGACAGCAACTCCTCCCTGTTTATCTCAGGACCTGGGGCTGGTGGGGGGTGGGGAGCGGGGTGGATGCCCAGGTGGGTATGAGGACTGTGAAAATTCCCCCAAGTGAGTCCCCCATGCAGTCAAAGTACAGAACGACCTCCTTCCTCGCTGGGAGCTAATTGGTCTAGAGACTCAGGTCCCCGGCCAGACCTGTTCCCATTTGAACAAGCCCCCTACATGCTGCTCCTACATACTGAGGTCTGAGAAGTGGGCTGCTACAGCTAGAAGAGCCCACCAGCCCGTGGAGGCTGAGCTACAGGCCAGTCGAATGAGGCCCTCTTGAACTTCCCGTCATGGCTTTAGTTAGACCAGGGCTAAACTTCAGGTGTCCTGTCACAGCTTGTGAATAAAACAAGCTTAGGTTTCGGGTGCCCCTAGAATCTTTGCGAGCAGGGGAACAGCACCCTTCAGAGACAGGGGCCCTGCCGCCTGCACATCTTGCCCCTCCATGCGGACCGTGGCGGCTGCGGTCATGCCCCAGCCTGCTCTGCACCACTCACCCTCTACAGACTTGGCCGGAGACACCACGGGGCTCTCTGTGTCTGGTTTCACTGGGCTCTGGGCTGGAGAAGCAGGCGCAGATTTTACAGGGGAGGCAGGCTCTGCCGGGGCGGTTTCTTTCTCTCCTGAAAAGGCAGAAAACCGCCCCAGGACAGAAGTCAAGCAGAGGAGAGATGGAATAGAAAGACAGAGTATTCGAGGTGTCCTTTTCTCCTACTCGGTCCTCCTTTCTCCTGGCCTAAGGGAGCTGCTGGCCCTAACTTTTCCTGCTCCCCTCTGGAGCAGGCATGTGAAAGGGGTCAGGGCACGTGCTGTTTCCTCCCTCAGACCACAGTTACGAAGGGGATTTGTCACCCTGGGGAAGATCGTGGGATGTCAGTGGGCTTCCCACCCAGGACCAACAGCCGTTTTTTTTTTTTTTTAGGCAGTTTAGAAAATTTCCCCCATTCAGGCCCCAAGTCTGAGGGATAAAAGTGCCCTAATTTTCCATCTGCTTTTGCAATGAGCCCAGGAAAATGTCAACAAAGTAGCAAGGTGCTTCCGGGCTTGGCTTGGTGGTCAGGAAGATAGCCTGCTCTGGACAGGGTGGGGTAAAGGAAGAAGGAAGACCCTCTGGGATATGAACGCTGAGCTGAATCCACAGATGAGACCCCAAATGGTCTGGAAGCAAAAGGCTCATGTGGGAGTAGGAGGCGGAGGGGGCCTTCCTCAGCGGAGGGGGTTTGAGACGGAAGGGGAGAACATTTTGGGTTGAGTTCATTGAAAGGCAATCTAGGCCAGAAGGGGCAAAGGCGGAATGAGGGTGTACAAGCTATCAGGAGCACGACTATTTGGGAGGCCACATAGTGAGTTGAGGAGTCTCAAACTCAGGAGGGAGAAAGAGGATAAGGGAGTTAGCTGGTGGAGAGCTCTGAGGGCCAAGCTAAAAAGCTTCCTAGGTGATGATAGGTGATCCATGATATAATCATCATGGTTGTGACTTTCTTATCACGGCTATCACTTTTTTTTCCCGCTTTTTGGGTCACACCCAGCGATGCACAGGAGTTACTCCTGGTACATGCACTCAGGAATTACTTCTGGTGGTGCTCAGGGGACCATATGGGATGCTGGGAATCGAAACTAGGTCGGCTGCGTGCAAGGCAAACGCCCTACCCGCTGTGCTATTGCTCCAGCCCCTCACTTTTTAAAAAAAAATTTATTAGAGAAACACCATGAGGTACAGTTGTAGATTTACAAATTTTTGTGCTTGGGTTTCAATTATACAACGATCAAACACCCATCCCTCCACCAGTGCCCATGGCGCTTACTGCCCTAAGCCATAGTTACGGGCACCAGATTAAGTACTCAGTAAGGATTAACTCCTTTATGCCCAGGAGGGGCACGATTATGATGGAAAGCACTATGGCAATAAGACCATTTGGTGATAGGGCAGGACAGTCCAAGGGAGGTGATAACAGAAAAGGGAGAAGCAAGTGAAGATGATAAAGGAAAGCAAGGGCTGGGAGTGCAGCTCAGGGTGAGCTAAATACAATGCATGCATGAGACCTGGGTTCATGCATGCAAAATGTGTACATGAACGAGTGAAGAAAATACATGAATGGGTGAAAATGAGCACAAGATGAGGCCATGGAGCAGGGAGGGAAGACATGGATTCTGGGGCCTCTGGCCAGGAGTCAGCAGTATTAGTTGTTCTGTCATGATGGCTGGATGTCCCCACCCATGAGCTGTCCCCTACCCCCTGTGAGGTCCCGGAGGACTGGGCCCTTTACCTTCTAGTTCCAGTTTCTTTCTCTCCACCTCTTTCTTGTACTCCTCCAGCTCCTGGTCAGTGAGTTGGCTGAAAGGGTTGGGAACCGTCTCCTCGGAATCGTCTTTGGTATCTGCGTCACCCTTGGCCACCAGCTGGCTCTCTGTAGACTGAAAGTTAACCAGAGTGTGTGTTGCTCTCTGAACGCCGTGCCCAGGCCAGGCCGGGCCTACGCTGCCTTTCACGCTCATGTGGCTGCCAGAGGTCTTGCTAGGGAAGCACGGCAGGCATGCAGCTCCTTGGAAACATCTCAGGGCTCAGGTAGGGCTCGTCCACTCCTCCCCATGGCTACCTCACCCTCGGGCCGGGATTCTTGGCCCACTGGCTGGATGAATACAGGGCTGGGGACACCCACTGCTCTGGAAAGGAAATCCAAGGATGCTCCCCAGCCAGAGGAAGACACACCTTTATTGCAATCCCGCCTGCAATGCTTCCAAGTCAGCAACAGGCAAATACAGACCCCTGCGCCAGTCCGCAAGCAAAGCAGTGACTCCAGCCAGCTTCATGCCAGCACCGCCCCACCCCCCACCCCACTCCACCCCATCCCCAACAGCAGCACAAGCCACAGCACACACAGCAGTAAGTCATACACAAAACACATGGTGGTTCAGCATTCTCAGTCCAAACTGTTAGCCCTGCAGGGCACACAGTCCCAGATCACAAGGGGCCACGCTCCTGAGTCTCGAATCTTCAGCCCGCCCGCACTGACAGTCCCTCATGCCCGCTGCTGGGCCTCACGCCTCTGCGGGGCGCGTGGCTCTGGGAAGCTCACCAGCTGGGCTTGAGCAAGCTTCGGGAATGCTTTAGCCCCTCTAGTCTGAGGCAGGCACGAATGTTCAAACCCCAGAGCCCCTGTTCCTAATCCCAGTTAGCCTTTGAGAATGCAGTGCCGGAAGTTGAGAGTGACCAGACAGAGCCGACAACCAGGGGAGTGGGCAGTGGGTCCACACCTCCCTCCTCCCAACTACCTTCCCCACCCACCAGCTCCTCTGAAGGGGGTCCTGGACTCCTTCCAGAAGAGGCGCAGCAGTGGGACTCTACTGACAGAGGAAGGGGAGGAGAGGGGCCATTTGAGCCACACCCAGCAGTGCTCAGGGCTTCCTCCTGGTGGGGCCTGGGGGATCATATGTGGTGTGGGCTCTCTCTCTCTCTCTCTCTCTCTCTCTCTCTCTCTCTCTCTCTCTCTCTGACCCAGCACTGGGATTGCGTCCAGGAATCATAGGGTTTCAGAGACTCTAAGGCCAGGATCCCCCAAAGAAGGACTCCAGGGAGAGCAAAGCCTGAGGGAAGGGCAGAGTATGGGGCTCAATCACTGCCGTGAGCATTGTAGGATGTTTCTCTGTCCGTGCCCGGTGGCACATCTGATGCTGCTTATCACAGCTGAGAGGAAGTTGGGTGACATGGGGGCATAATGACATCACCCTGCGTGTTCCCCCTGCCAATGGGCACGCACCTTGAGCTGCAGCCTGACCTCGAATCACACCTACATCTCAATTATTTTTTTTTTTTTTTTGCTTTTTTGGGTCACACCCAGCATTGCACAGGGGTTACTCCTGGCTCATGCACTCAGGAATTACTCCTGGTGGTGCTCGGGGGACCATATGGGATGCTGGGAATCGAACCCAGGTTGGCCATGTGCAAGGTAAACACCCTACTATGCTGTGCTATCGTGCCAGGCCCCTACATCTCAATTTGCTCTGCAGAGAGGAGCCATACCCCAGCAACTAAACCCCTCGTCACCACTAAGGTGAAGGCCATGCCCACTTCTGCCTCATGAGAGTGGAAATCATTGTCAACAGAAGCCAGGATATTCATCTTCACCCCTATGGCCAAGCACTAGACGAAGACTACTCTATCTCAAATGTGGAACAATGACTCTATACTTCCTAACGCTATGCGGGCTCTCCATCCTGCAGGAGCGTGGGGCCTTTAGACATGCCCTACAGTCTAATGGGGCTGCACTCATACACAGCGGCCAGACCTGCTCAGGAGCCATGGGGAGCTTCCCAGCACTCCTGTGACTTACTGGCTACGAAGGGAGGCTAGGGAGACAGCTCACAGGGCTGGGGCACAGGCTTCCAACCCTTGCACCATCCTCAGAGCACTGCTAGGAACTCCTGAGCACTGGCCTGGGAGGAGCCCCCCAGCACCACCAGGTGTGGCCCTCAAACAAAAGAAGGGTGGGGAGAGGAGGGAGGGAAGAGGGGAAAGGGGAAGAGAGAGGAGTGAGCTCCATTGGGGGGCTGTAGGGGAGCTGGCCTCACTCCGGTAGCTGCTTGAGGTGACCCTGCCCAGTGCCCACAGGAAGCGACACTGTCCTGGTCCTCACAGCATCCGTTTTACAGCAAGAACACTAGCGCCCCCGGGGAAAGGTGGACACCAGGACTCAGGGGTCCTGCTGCCCAGCCCCGGGCTCTGAAGACCCTCTGGGCGGGGGCGGCTGCGGCTGTACCGGGCTCTTCTCGGCGATGACGCTCGCCAGGAGCTGGGACTGAGGCCCCGCTGACTTCACGTCCTGGCGGTTCTGTTCTCGGATCTGCATGGAGGACAGAGGGGAGCGTGAGGGAGCGGTCCAGGTGAAGACTCACACAAGGACGGGCCATTCCCGAGGGTCTGTCCTCGAGTCCCGTGGGACCCTCTCTCATCCACAGCCAACTTGGAACTTCAGCCCCAACAGTCTCTCCTTCAGAGAGAATTTGAAGTTTGTGTAAAACACCATCTTCTGCCAAACTCTGGGAAGGCAGAGGGGTAGGGAGAGGGGGCATCACAGAGCCCTGAGAAGGGTCCTTGGAAGTTAACGTTCCTCAGAAACTCCTGAGATATTTGCTCAAAATACTTGCTCAGATTCCGGGACTGGAATTCAATTCAATGGGCTGAGCACATATGCTGCATGTGGGAGGCCTGGGTTCACTCCCTGTGGTCCCCCAAACACTACAAGGAGCTCCCATGAGCAATGAGCTGGGAGTGGCCCCCAAGTAACAAAAATAAATTTTAAAAACCAGAGACTGCCAGGCACCTCCACACCTACTGAATCAGAATCTCTTGAGGTAAGGAATGGGAGGAGAGACCCAGCAATGTTAATTTCCACAAGAGCAGCAGAGGGTCTTGGACCATATACAGAATTGCTGTTCTGACAGCGCATCCGCGTGCTTGGAAATATCAGAGAGAGTCTGCAAAGCAGTGGTGGAAGAATAAATATAAATGCTTGTGAAATCTTGAAATGAGTGCAAAGGAAAATAGATGGTCCGAACTCCATCTGTGGGCAGGTACTGTGGTTACATTCAAGTTGGGCCAAGCAGTTCTCCGGGCCTGAGGGTAGCACTAGCAGAGCCTGCAGTGTGGTGGGTACAGAGAGTTCCTCCCCACAGGAGACCTTTGGGAGGGAGGCGGACAGATTAGGCCCCCGGCAGAAACTCAGCTCATTATAAACAGGACTTGCCTCAGCCCCCACCCTGCCAGAGCCGAGGGAGAAGAGACGATGCAGTAAATCAGGGACCCCTTACCTTGTTCCGCATGTCCAGCACTTCCTGGGGGTCAGTATAGAGAGGCACAAATTGGTTTGGGTTTTCAATCCGTATGGGCATGCCGCTGCTGGATTTCTCCACCTCGTCTGCCTTCATCCACTGAACATACAGAAGGACAGGCGGTGAGGCAGAGGGATGGGCCCACACCCGGTGCCCTGAGCAGTTCTGACCCGGGAGCCGGCGCTTATGGGTCAGTTCCACACCATGGCATGCACAAAGGCCCACCTCTGGGTCCTCTGTGATGCCAGGGTCCCACAGCAGAGATGAGCAACAAAGGACTCCACTGCCAAAGCAGAAACACACCCTGCCCCGCGCCCTCCCACCCCAGCAGTCAGTCCAGAGAAGCCTGGAGAACAGCCTCAGAACCTTGGTGAGCAGCACCGTGGCTGCCACGGGCCACGAGGCCTCTGTTCGGGGTCTGTGCTGTTGGTCTGCAGGGATGTGTTTTCTTTCTGTAGAAGCAGAGCTATTCTCTTTGCTCTCCCCTCTGCTGCTTCTATCTTTATGACAACTCAGAGTCAGTGTGTGGGGGACGGGAACAGTTGGAGGCCAGGGTTCGACCCCAAACATCTCCAGGAGCAAGTCCTAAGCACAGAAACCGGAAATGGCCCTGAACCAGGCTGAATGTGGCCCCAGTCAAGCAAGAGTTCGTGCATGGGTGTTTGGGGAGTGTAAGGAAGGCAACCAAACATAAATGAGGAGCCACCAGCTCCCAAACTGGCCTTAGCCTGCAGTGCGAATGCGCCATTGCCTCCCCCAAACTTCCCACAGGCTCCTGCCGATGGGGGAGCCAGAAGGAAAACAAGAGCTGCTGGGCTCTGTGCTGCTAGAGTGACCATGGCCCTCTGCCCCCAAGACTCAGAGCAGTGGTTCCCGAAACAGGTGAAGGGGCCAGAGCCATAGCACAGGCTGTAGGGCGCTTGCCTTGCATGCCCCCAACCTGGGCTTGATCCCTGGCATCCCATATGGTCCCTGGAGCACCACCAAGAGTAAGTCCTAAGTGCAGAGCCAGGAGTCACCCCAGTACATTGTTGGGGGTGCCCTCAGAAAAGAGAGGAGGGGAGGGAGGGGAGAGGAGGGGAGGGGAAAGGAGGGAAAGGGGGGAGGGAGGGAAGGGGAAGAGAGGGGAGGGGAGGGAAAAGGAGGGGAGGGGAGGAGAGGAGAGGAGGGGAGGGGAGGGGAGGGCAGGGGAAGAGGAGGGGAGGGGAAGAAAGGAAAGGGGAGGGGAGAGGAGGGGAAGAGGAGGGGAGGGGAAGGGAGAGGAGGAGAGGAGAGGACAGGAGAGGGGAGGGGAGGGGGAGGGAGGGGAGAGGAGGGGAGGGGAGGGGAGAGTCAGGCGGTCGGGAGACTGGTTCTGTTTCCCTTTCCCAGCTGCCTCCCCCATACACGAGCAGCCCGCCCACTCCCTGCTCGCCCCTGGGGGCCGCGAGCAAGCCTCACCGTGGTCTTGGGCCGTGGGCTGCCCATGCTCCTCTGCACCTCGTCTGCCACGTTGACCCGCAGGTAGGTGTTGGGCGTGTTGAGCCAGCGGGTCTTCTCCTTCTGCTGCTTCTGCGCGTGCTGCCGCAGCATGGGCACGGGCGCGCCGTCCTCCTCGAACACGAAGGCCGTGACCGTGGCGGGGATCTCCACCTCACTCTTGTGTTTGGCTTTCTCTTGAACAAAGGGGTAGCGGTACGTGTAGCCCGTCCTGTAGCCCTGCACGAGGACAAAAGCAGAAGCTTCAGGGCGGCGACAGGGCACCCGGCCACTCACCTGACACCCCCGCTCCGCCCCCTGCCCTCCGTGGCAGCGCGCAGGCTCCGGGCCCTGAGTTCCACCTGCAGCATCCCAGGCACAGGAACTGCCACCATCCCAGAATCCGCTTTGAGCCTCAGCGACACTCCTCTGCTCCCTTGTCTCTCTCCTCACCCCCCCCCCCAACTCTTCCCTTCCTCCCCCTAACTCTTTTTCCTCCCCAAAGACCCCAGATCTATGCTGGAGCCTTTGTCCCACAACTGCTTACCCACTTTTCATCAGGCCCAGCAAGGTGAGGCCACCAGCATGCTCCGAGAACCCAGGTGCCCGAGGTCACCTCAGAGGGAGCTGGGGGCTGGGCTAGTCTTAAACATTTAGAGTTCTTAAGCCTTTAGAGGTTAATTCTTAAATATTTAGAAAGATTTGGGGAGTCTGGAGATTTTCTTAAACGTTTCCCAGCTGGCTCTTCCCTTCAGCCCTTCCTTCCTGACTCAGGAGCTGCATCACTACTCCCATTTGGAACAGGGAACCTGGTATAAAACCATCCCTCCTGGGGCCAGAGTGTTAGTGAGGGGTTTGCTTTGCATGCAGCAGACCTGAGTTCAATACCCCACATCCTACGTGGTCCCCCGAGCATGCCAAGAGTGATCCCTGAGTGCAGTCAGGAGCAAGGCCTGAGCATCCAAATCAAAGCAAAAATAAACATTTCTCCTAAGCGTGAGATGGTATATATTTATAAATCTGTCACTGTCACTGTCCTCCCGTTGTTCATTGATTTTCTCGAGTGGGCCCAGTAACGGTCTCCATTGTGAGACTTTTTTGTTACTGTGTTTGGCATATCGAATCGTAATATACTATATAGTTACATAGTATATTTGTATCTATAAAAACACAAATTGGAAAATATATAAATAATATATTACTATAATTGCATATAATTATAGGTATTTATAAGTTTTAGTGTATATATACATGTGCGAATATAACATGTTTATATCTATACATATTATAAAGTAGCATATACATGAGACCATACTAAAGATGTTTGTGAATTTTTTTTCTAACTCATCAATGTTTCTTGGAAATTTCATGTTATTAAACTTATGAACTCTTAAGAACCTTTCTAGTCTGCCAATGCATGAACACTTTAAAATGTATTTAACCAACAATAGTGAACACTTTGCTATTTTCAAAATATTATAGAAAAGCTATGAAATTAATATCTTTACACATACTTTTTAGACAATTAAATGATTTTCCAATAGACATAAATACCTAGAATGAAGATTACTGGGACAGAGAGCACATGTTTTTATATATTTAACATATGCATTTTTCCTCAAATGTTAACATTTTTACCCTGGACCAGTTGTTCTGGAGTTTCCTATTTTCTTCCTTGGGGTGTGCTGGGGGCTGGGGAGCAGCTTCTCATCATGCTCAGAGGTCCAAAGCCACGGTCTGATGGTCAGGCCTGGAATTCCATGCTGTTTGACCAGAGGTGTTGGAGATGTCCAGGGCTACACCCAGCAGTGTTTGGGGTAGACAGTATGCAGTGTCAGGGATCATCTCACAAGCAAGGCATGAAGTTTACTCCTTGAGCAAATAACCTATTTGTTAGGTTATTTGCAACATTTTTCATCTTTCAAGATAGAAATGTTTGAATATGTACTACACTTGTTATAATTGTGTGCATTTACCCTAATGATGTGTTGTATTTACACTATGGAATATACCTCTCATCAGTAAAATGATCCTCATAAGCAGCCTGGTTATCAGGCAGAGACTATTTGGAGGAACTAGAGTATAGGATTCATTATTGCAAAAACTAAGAGGATCCAAGTTTGCAACAGTGAAAAGGGAAATGAGTCAGATGTAGAAACATTGTAAAGATGGAATCCATCTTCTGTTTTCTGTGCCATCGTAGAAGCTTCACTCTCTTCCTGCCATTAGTTATTTCCTTACTCGCATGCTCTCCTCTTGTTCTTGGATTGTGTCTTATTTGTTACATCATCAACCACAGTACCAGAGATAAAAAGAAGAATGTCTTTAAAGTCTTTTGCACCCATTAGGGCCTCTCTGAGCCATACCCCAGCTAGCTCCTAACATGACTTATTTGTGCAGTCGGACAGCAGGATCTTATTATACGACTGCTCAATGGGATTAGGGCACTTAGCGGTATTATGTGTTTTCTGCCTTAAAATCATAAGACAGGCAGAACTAGCTAAAAAGAAATAAACAAAGTAAGACACACTGTAAAAGTGGCTCTGTGGTTATTTTTATTGGATTGCCACTTCTCATCCCAACCAATACCTTCTGACCCCTTCTCCAAAGAGCACTCCATAGGGACAACATTCACAGCTCTTACAAGTGGATGTCATCATACCAAAGGCCAATATTTAAGAAAACTCAACTTCTATTAGAACAACGACAAATTCTAAGTCAAGATGTCAACTGATGAGTTGGGTTCTGGGTTATCATTGTTTTATTTTGTTTTGGGGTCACCGCCAGTGGTGTTCACAGGCTGCTCCTAATTTAGTGCTCAGACAACTAAGCAGAGTCAGGGATGGAAGCTGGATGTCCTGCATGCAAAGCATGTTTTTGGTCCATGGTCTTTCTCTCCAGCTCTAATCAATGAATATTTAATAACTATGCTGCTGTGATTCTCATAGCGACCCAACGCCTGATGCTGACTGGTTTGGGGGACTAGGCCTCGGAGGAAAGGGCTAGAAGGTCACCGCAGGAGACTCACCAGGTTGTCCAGCATCCTCATGAGAGCCTCAAACTCATGCTCCCCCAGCCGGCTCTTCTGCATGGGTCCAAAGGTGCTCCCTGCCCACTGGACAGAACCCACTTCATGCGGGCGGTGTTTCTCCTGCTCCAGGAGGATGAGGTTCTCCACTCCCCCAGCGCTGGATAAAGCGGACACCTGTGGTAAAGAGCAGAAAGGCCTCAGCTGTGCACAAACATATGTGTGTATGAACATGTGTGTGCATGCACATGTGTGTGCATGTATGCTTGCAAGTGCAACCACACACCTACTTGTATGTGTACCGGGACAGGGGATTGGGGAGGATTAGAAACAGAGAAGTCTGGAAAACAATTATATTTAGCTTTTTCCTGCCAGAGGAAAAGATGCATCAAACACGTAGGACAACCACCCATTTCTAGGTAAAGAGAGAGGTGATCATGGTTTCTTCCTTAAATCTTCACCAGCTTTCCGAGGCTATAAAGGAGTAAGTGCAAACATTAAATCTTTACACCAAAGCAGCTCAGGGCTGTGTGGAAGTAGAGCACTCACCTCGAATCTGAGAGGCCCTGGGTTCAACCCCCAGCATCACAAAAATAAAAATGAATAAATACAGAGGACTATAGGGTTACATGGGATACAGACCAGCTTTGAATGTGATTATTTCTGGGGAGGGAATGTAAATCAAGAAAAGGTGACTTTTATTCTTATCTGTGATATTTTATTTCTTCCAGAGGAAAAGATCTTGAAGCAAAAATCTTCTAATATGTGTTCAGTCTGGGTGGTAGAGAAAATCCTTATTACGCTATTATTCTCCACACTTCTTCTGTGAGTTTGAAAGATTCTCTTTTTAAATTTTCGTTTTTGAGATAACATTGGTTTATAAGATATCCTTTTTAAGATGGGGGGCCACCCCAGTGGTGCCAGGGTGCCAGGACCACTTTCCACTGGTGTGAGCTGGGTGCTTCCTGGGGGCAGCAAAGTTGGGGGATCACCAGGGATCCACTTGACAGTGCTGAGGGTGCCACACAGTGCTGGGCACCAACCACAAGGCCTCTCACATGCGAAGCAGTAGCTCTAACACTGGAACTCTCTTCTCTCTCCCAGCCCCAAGGGGTCCTTTTAAAAATCCCCTTGAAAGAAATTGACCAATGGAACCATTGCAGATTAGAGGAGTGAACCAGCAGATCTAAAGGCATCAGGGGTTCCCAGGAAGGGGTGGAGGAGGAGGAGGAGAGGACAGATGAGCAAAGAATGCACAGCCAACCCTGGGCAGGTGCTGCCACCAGGGACTTAGGGAGCGTGGAATAGGAGGATGGGATGGTTGCCAGGTGTAGACAAGATAAATATAGGAAAAAATGAGTGTGAATGATGTGGGTAACATTAGACTGGCTCTAATAAACTGGGAATCAAACTAAACCCCTTATTTTCCACTTCAAAGTTCATCTGACTGTAGGTCAATATTCCCCCCTTAGCCCCTCAGCTAGAAGGGTCTGGATGGGGCATCTTGGGGCAGATCAACAATAGGGAGAGGCCCGTTTCCAGCCTTCTGGGGTATTTGGGGTAGGGGTTGTTTGTGACACATTCCCATTGTGGAGACTTCGAGTGTTCCAGTGTTCAGTGTTCTTGAGACCCTTTATGGTTGTTTTGCTCGTTCTGAACAGATCCAATTCAGCTCACTGACAAATTCAGGTCTATGAGTCCCTGATGGCCAAGGACTGACCCTACTGAGACACACAGCCCTGTGGACATGTCTTGGGTCAGCCAGGCCACTGTCTCAGGACCTCATCACCCTGCGAGGAGAAGAAAGCCAGAATGTCCCTCCCATGCCTCCCCTCTGAGGCCTGTGTCCTGTGGTGAGGCTGTGTCTCTGGCACGGGTGGGCAGGACTCAAAGGTCATTTATCCCATCATCTCACTAAAGATGAGTCTCTTGACCCATAATCCCTGAAAGGGGTTGGCGACACCCTGGGCCACAAGGCCCTCCCACAGCCACCACCCTGGTGACTCACCCAGTGGTCCTGTCTTCAGATTCCCGAACTAAATCTCCATGGAGATACAAGCTAAGCAGCTGAAATTCATGGACACACCAGTGCCCCCCCACCCCAGCTCAAATCTCTGGAGTCTCCTTGGGAAGGGGGTGAGCCGAGTCCCTACCTTCCTGAAGCCTTGGCAGCTGCACCCCACTGCTACTGCCGAGCCAATGGCCCAGCTCAGTGACTTCACTAGGTATCTCTGCAGAGACTCATCCTACTTACAGATCTATAGATCCTAAAGTTTCTGGACCATGTAGTCACATGACACCTCCAAATTCCACAGGACTAAAATCCCAGTAGGAGCACACCAAACTAGATGGGAAAGCACCATAGAAGCCAACTAGACTCAACAAACAAAAACAGTAACACAGAAAATTCAACTAGCAAGGAACAGCTGAGTAAATCCTCAGACAAGGACTTAACAACCCCATGGTGAGATATAGCAATTTTCACAAATTTTCTTTTACTGGGGTATTTTTGTTAATTCCTTTAGCTGTCTGGTTGTAGCAAGGAACATAAAAGCAAATTATTGTATGCCTATAAGGGAGTAGGCTTGAGGGGTGGTTGGGAAAATGGGGACAATGGTGGAGGGAAGGTGACTCAGAAGGGTCACTCAGATGGTAGGATTGGTTTTGGAAAATCAAAAATCCATAACAACTTTGTAAGCCATGGTGTTAAATAAAGGTTGTTTTTTTTTTTGTAGGAGTACTGCTATTTATTCAGCCACTGATTAGCTGATTGAATTGTGCATGAACTCCACCTTACTTTTTTTTTTCATTTTTTATAATTTTATTTATTGAATCACCGTGAGAGCAGTTACAAAGCTTTTGGGTCTAAGTCTCGGTCATACAATGAAACACCCGTACCTTCACCAGTGCCCATTCTCCACCACCAAAAACCCCAGTATACCCCTATCCCACACCCTTCCCCTACCCGTGGGGTAGATGATTTCCACATTATTCTCTCTACTTTGATTACATTCAATATTTTGACACCAGACCCACCATTATTATTTGTGATTTTACCAACACTCAGATCTGCTGAAAAGGCAACAGCAGACAATTTGTTTTCTATTGCTGGTTATGAATAACATATGATGTCGCATGGCTGCAGTAGTGGCTGCGGGATTTTGAAATTCCAAAATTTTAACACTTAAATCTGGAGGGATTTCGGCCAAAAGGCACTGGGTTTCGAGATCTGCTCCTGAGTCTCTGGGATCATGGCCATTGAGCAGCTTGATGAGGAGTCAGAGGCCGTTTGTGGGTGATGACTTGGGGTCTTGTTGGGATGGGGAGGACAGGTCCGGCTCCACCCCGTCCCGTAAGGCCCAACAAGTTTCGTCACTGCGGGCCCAAGCCTGACTGTCCAGTGGCCTCTGGAGGATGACGGTCACAGAGCCGCCAGAAGGAAACAGGCGGAGGGACAGCACCCTTTCCCCCTGGGGTGGCCCGGCAACAGTAACCCTACTGCGGGGTCCGGACACATTTCTGCCAAAAGCCGCTGGGTTTCGAGATTTGTTTCTGAGTCTCTGGGATCAAGGCCATTACGCAGCTTGATCAGGAGCCAGAGAGGCCGTTCGTGGGCAATGACTTGGGGTCTCGTTGGGGTGGAGAGGACAGGCCCGGCTCCCCCCACATCCCGTGAGGCCCAACAAGTTTCGTCACTGTGGGCCCAAGCCTGACTGTCCAATGGCCTCTGGAGGATGATGGCCACCAAGCCGCCAAGAGGGAGCAGGCAGAGGGACAACACCCTTTCCTCCCTGGGGTGGCCAGGCAACAGTAACCTACTGTGGGGTCCGGATGCATTTCTGCCAAAAGCCACTGGGTTTTGAGATTTGTTTCTGAGTCTCTGGGATCATGGCTGTTAAGCAGCTTGATCAGGAGCCAGAAAGGCTGTTCGTGGGTGATGACTTGGGGTCTCGTTGGGGTGGGGAGGACAAGCCCGGCTCCACCCCCATCCCATGAGGCCCTGTGTGTCTCGTCACTGGGGGCCCAAATGTGACTATCCAGTGGCCTCTGAAGGATGGCGGCCACTGGGCCACCAGGGGGAATAGGCCAAGGCACAAAACCTATTCCCACCTGGGTTGGCCCGGCACCGGTAGCCTACTGCAGGGACCAGATGCATTTCTACCTAAAGCCGCTGGGTTCCAAGATTTGTTTCTGAGTCTTTGGGATCATGGCATTAAGCAGTTCAATCAGGAACCAAAGAGGCCTTGCCTCCAATTATATAACTGAGCCGGAGGTGGTTTGTTGGTGTGTTTCCCACATACCTAACTTTTGGCTGTTTACTTTCTTGGTAAACTTTACCCCAAGTTTTTGGGGTCTGGCCAAAGGCACAGCAGCAATTTTGGGGTATCTGGAAGTCTGAAGGTGCCATGAGGCTGCTGATGCACTCGCCTCACAGGTACAGATTGACCTGCTGGCGGCACCATACCCCCTAAATAAAGGTTTTTTTTAATTATTAGTGAAACACCATGAGGTACAGTTGTAGACTTACAAATTTTTGTGCTTGGGTTTCAGTTATACAATGATCCAGTACCCATCCCTCCACCAGTGCCCATTCTCCATCATTTACATTTTTTTTAATTTTCCTTAGTGAAACACCATGAAACACAGTTGTAGATTTACAAATTTTTGTGCTTGGGCTTCTGCAAGGACCACAGTGGGTTGACAAAGATGATGCTAAGCAGAAATCCCCCGTTCAGCTTTCTGCAACTGTGTTGTCTGATTCTAAAGTCCCTCACATCCCACTGAGGCTGGTCACAAAAGGCCCCACTCACAAAGGTGAAGTCTTGCCACTCGCTGACCAATGACCCCGTGCTTCCTGGACCCCCATGTGACCAAGGCAGGACTTCATCCCTGAGACCTTGAAACCCTGACTTGCAGTACCCCCTCCCTGAATGCAGGTCCCTGCCTCTCAGCCCACCTTTCCCGCTAAACCTTCCCACCCCACAGAGGTGGAGTAATGTCATATTTAGGGACTCAGACTTGAGGGCCAGCAGGCCTGGGTCTCAATCCACACAGCCATTTACTTGCTGTGTTGCACCAAATGGCTATTTATCCTCTCTGAGCCTCACTTTTTCTTCTATAAAACTGACACAATTGTATCTGCCTTGTGAGGATCATTTTATGGGGCTACTTGTAAAGCTTAAGAATAGATGCAGAGAAATCATTTCTAATAAATCATTTATTAACAAACACACTTGGAGACTCTACCATGACAGGCTAAAATAAAATATTCTCTGGGGACCCAGGTCTTGTGGGTAAGGAGAGAACTGCCCACATTCTATTCCCCAATCCCTCAGTTTCCATGGTGATGGGAAGCAGATGGGAGAGAAGCACATGAGTTTCTTAATCTCTCTGTCTCTGTCTCTCTGCTTCTGTCTCTCTGTCTGTCTCTTTCCCCACCCCCAGCTCCTGGCTGGTCTAGTTTCCTGGATCCCCGGCTAACGGTGAGTGAAGAGAACACCATGCCCAGACACGCAGCACCAGCTCAGTCTCAAGCCACTGAGAGCCACCACAGCCACGACTGGTCAGGTTTGCCATGGGGGAACCCTAGGCCCCTGGCTGGAAATGGGACTTCGGAGCTGCCATCGAACCGGCAAAGACCAGTCGGGACTGACTCCCAACAGCACCAGGATCCTGTTTGCCTAAGGCACCCACACCTGCCCTGTCCCCCTGCTTCCCCGCCCCACCCTCTCATGGCTTTTCTTCCTCTAGAACCTCCTGCTACATGGTTGGGTACCTCGCTCGCCACAGCTTTCTTGGGGGATGGAGTGTGCGGTGTGGGGAGTATGTCTCTGTGCACTGGAACAAAGTCCCACCAGAACAGTCCAGATGGGAGCGACAGCAACAGGCCTAGCTCCTTACCCTCTCCCCTATGCCCCTCACCATCAGACAAGCCCCCCCATTCTCTACCCTAACCCCTGACCACCGGGCCAGTTCCCTCACTATCTCTCCAATGCCCCTGGCTATCAAACCTGCTCCCCTGTCCTCTCCACCATGCCCCTGGCCATCCAATCAGCTCCCTCATCCTCTCCCCCATGCCCCTGGCCATCTGACCAGTCAGTCCCCCATCTTCTCCCTCTCCCATGCCCCTGGCTGTCACACCGTGGCTGTTTCTAGGGGGCTGGGGCCTGGGAGAGGTGTGAGCAAGAGACAGGTGTTCTCTCTCCCATCCATCTGTAGGTCTGGTCTGTTTGCAGAGATGAGGCTCAGTTTTCGTTCCCTTGGGCTGCCAGAGTGCCAGAGTGGAGAAGGGGGAGCCAGAACAGCAGGAACTGGGCAATGAGGCGTTGACCGGTTCTACCAACATGGGGCAGAGTTCGGGGCCGGTGGCATCGCTGGGCACCTCACTCCTGTCCACCTTTTCCCCGTTCTCCTGTGCAGATACTGCTGTCGGAGGTGGCCGGTCCCTTCCTGCTCTCTCTTGCTCCTGACTGAGCTGGGATTCCCCTCAAGTCAAGGGAAAATGCTTGGAGGAGAAAGACAGCCTTGCTCAGAGGCTGCTGTGCCCACTCCTGCCAGCAGGGGGCAGGCAGGACACCCACAGTTCCTGCATAGCAGCAAGCCTTCCTGCCTGTCTCTGACATCCCCACTTCCCCTAACACCACCAGCAACCCCTCTCCTTGTCTGAAAGGACTCGTGCCCATAGGGGCCCTCGGGGAAAGGAGGGCTGGGGACAGTGGGTGCCCACCCAGAGGCACACAGCCTGAGCAGTTGCAATGGTGCCCAGTTAGTGAAGCACTGCCCGACCCACCCAGAGGCTGGTCACAGTGGCCAGGAGCACTCAGCTCACCCCACACCACGTTGTTATGGAGAAGCAACCAATCCATGTTCTGCTAAGGCTTCCCAAAGGGGCCACGTGATCACTAGCACTCCCCCACAAACCCTTCCTGTGACCCTGAGGAAGACAATTTGGCATGGGCTCCCGGATATCAGGGGGCTGGGGGTGTTCCCAGTCATTCAGGTCACCATACCAGTGTGCCTGTACTTATCTTTCAGGACTTGAGCATGTCTGTGCATGTGCCCCCACCAAAGAAAGGAAGGAGAGAGGGAGTGAAGGATGGAAAGGAAGAAGGGAGAGAGGAAAAAACAGCAGAGAGAGAGAGAGAGAGAGAGAGAGAGAGAGAGAGAGAGAGAGAGAGAGAGAGAGAGAAACACCTTTCTGCATCCTGCTTGGGTCTGTCTAGCTAGATGGAAAAAACTGAGGGGGAATGCAGGTAACAGCCGAGCACCCCAGGAAGCACCTGCCCCATTCTGATTGCTCCCGCCGTCCCATTACTGAGCCCTGGAAGCAGCCTGCCCTGGGCCCTGAATCCCAGGAGCTGGGTGCTGACTGTCAGAGCGATGACAGAGGTTTATAAGCTACAGGACAGGTTCTATAAAGAACTTCAGTAAAATAAGGTGCTGACAAGGTATAGAAGTTGGGCCAGGTCTTCAGCTAGCCGGCTCCAAGGACTCCCCTGCTCACAGACCAGGGGGGGTGCCTGCTGTCCAGGCCCGCACCTGGGCACACCCCAGAAGGTCTCGCTCACCTGCACCTCACAGGCTGCCTGCAGGTGGAAGGCTTTATAAAACGCCTCCTCCACAGTGTCGCCCAGAGCAACCATGCCGTGGTTTCTTAGCACCAGGATCTGTGGGGGAGAAAAGAACCTGTTACAGTTGCGAGCTTCCCTCTGAAGAGGGAGAGATTCCTCATAGACATCCATTTCTGGGTGGGATCCCAGAGCCCCTCACCAATACTGTATTCAGGGATGGGGAAGGAGAGAACAATAAGCATATTAAAGGAACTCTTCTAGCCAACACAGCTTTAGTGAAGGGATTTTCATGACTGCATCATTTATAGCAAGAAAAAATTCATCACAAACTTCCCGTGTCTGACTGCAGACAAGTGTTCAGGGACACAGTGGCACAGCCACTCACGCATGGAGGGATAATTTAATAGTTCCAAACTGTCATGACGCTGCTAGGTTCGATAACGTACAAAGCTGTTTACTGTGTGTCGCTGAGGGAAATAATAAGGATATATCTTGCAAGCCTAGCCTTGCAAATAAATGCAAGCATATTTGGTGGTGCACCAACGTCTCAGGGTCACGCAACAGATTTTGGTTTCTGTTTTGTGATTCTGCGGCTGTCCGAGGAAACGGTCCCGTCTGTGATGTCAGTTATGACACTGCCCACCCCCCACCCCACCCCTGCTTTCCCAGCACCTTCCTGAGCTGCAGAGCCCCACCTTGCAGGTGGGTCCAAGGCACTTCTGCAGGTTGATCCGATCTGCTTCCTGCTCCATCTCCCCATTGAAGTCATAGTAGGCCATGTCCCCCACCAGCAGGGCATTGTGGGAGACGGGCAAGAGACCCCACTTCATGGCTGACACCTACAGGGAGAGGACAGTGGTCACACCCACAGCTCCCCACCAGCCCTCTGCACCCCTTGGCTCTGAGCACCCCTCAGCCACTAGTGGAGGGAGGGGCATGGGGGAGAAGATCTAGCAGAGAAAGACATGCACCCCTGCCCACTTTCTCACGGCTCCCTGTCCTCCACCATGTTGCTCCCGCGGCAGAGTGAGACCCCTCTTCTAGAATTACTGCAGAGACTGTCCCCACTTGAGCCAGGCCCGCCATCCCTCCCACTGGGCTCCTGCCCTGGGACTCTGAGAAGATTCAGGGGGTGGGGAAGTTGTCATCAGGCTGGAGTACAACAGGGGTCCGGGCTGGCTAGTGAAGAGCTGGAGCCTTGTAGTCAACTTCGAGACAAACCACGACTCTCACGAGCAAAGAGATTGACTGGGATGCCCCATCCCATTAGCATCAGGGACTATGAGAGCCAGTGAGCAAAACCCAGGCCATGATCCCCACAGCCCAGCTCCTTTGGGCATCTTTCTGTGACAGCACAGAGTGTGGAGGGGGTAAGGAGACCCCCACGCCATCCTGCCCACGTTCAGCCCCACCAGAAAGGCTGGGCTCTGCAGATACGCGTGCTCAGCATGCAACATCAATCAGTTTGGAAGTTCTGGGAGCTTGAGACCGACGTGCCTCTCTGAGAAAGTCTCATGCAAGGGCCAAGGCTGCATGTGAAGGAGCTGACAGGATTCTGCCTTTTCTCTGCATTTTCTCCCTAACCAACAATTTCACTATTTGGAAAACAGGGAGGACAGAGACCCCTGGGCTTGGACGCTCCCTCCCCTCCCTGTGTCCTGAGGTCCAGGACATTCTCTGAGAGTTGTTGGAAGCATGGCAGTATGTGGGGGCCGGGGAGATAGTATAGTGGGTAGGGTGCTTGCCCTGCACACAGCATACCTGGTATTGATCCCCAGCATCCCACAGGGTCTCCTGAGCCCTGCTAGGGCTGATCCCTGAGCACCACCAAGAATGACCCAAAAGAACAAAGCCATACAGGTGGGCACGGGGGACACTCACCGCGGCCGTGGCGGGCGTGTGCAGGTGGATGATGCAGCGCACGTCGGGCCGGGCTGCGTAGATGGCCGAGTGTAGGCAGAAGCCTGTGGTGTCCACTGGGAAGCAGCTGCTGCCCTTCTCCACAACCTCCCCCAAGATGTTCACCTTGATCTGGGGAGAGATTTAGAATTCGGGAGGATGAGGCTCTTCCTCCCCGCCCACTAGGCCATGAAACAGCAGTGCGGGGACTCAGAGGAGCAGAGACCCACCCCAGCCTCCTGGGGACACCAGAGATTACAGTTCAGTGTGGAAACCGCTAGAACAGAGTCAACAGATTCAGCAGGCTGGGAAGGGGACCCCAGACTCAACACGGCCTGAATCATTCTCTATGACTGATTCTCTATGATGATGGGAGGATAAATAAGGGGATTGGGGGTGTCAGAGAAGCCTTCTCAAGACCAAGTGTGTGCAGGCATTTGCACCTTCTAGGACCCCTGAGTCTGCACCCTGCTTTCCTCCCACATCCCAAACATGTGCTGTTAAGTCTACTGGGACGTGGAAGCTGTCCGCACTGAGGGTGAGGGGAGCATGCTTGCCCTGTGATGCAGGTTCCTCTCCTGGTGGCTCCCTCAGTTCCTGAGTGACTGGCTACAGTCACAGGACTCAGACAGATGAAGGGGGTCGGAAAGTGAATGAGTGAATACAAATGACTGTTTAGTATCAGACATATGCGAGTATTTAGAAGTTTGGTGATGCTTCTGGAACTAGAAGAATGCCCTAGGAACTTAGTCCTTTTCTATTTCAAGGGCCCTACCGTGGAACTGGTTTGTTATATGTTGTTTCACTCAAAGTTGCCACTTCTGAGAATGTCTCATGACATTAACTTGAGCAGTGTTCTTCAACCTTCTAGCACCTGGCCTGCACTGGGTCCACAGAGCGGCAGTTAAAGCCAAGACAGTAGACCAGTGATTTTCAATCTTTCTACACTGTGAACCAGCACCGGCCCATGGATGATGACTGAAAACCACTGGGTTGGAGATGCACTATACACACCTATAAGAAAGTTTAATTTATAAATCAGCACAGTGAAAGATTAAGAATGACATATAATAGGGGCTGGAATGATAGCACAGTGGGGAGGGCGTTTGCCTTGCATGCAGCCGACCCAGGTTCAATTCCCAGCATCCCATATGGTCCCCCGAGCACTGCCAGGGGTAATTCCTGAGTGCAGAGCCAGGAGTAACTCCTGTGCATAGCCAGGTGTCACCAAAAAGCAAAATAATAATAATAATAATAAAAATTTTTTAAAGAATTAGAAATAATAAAATAGAACGGTTTTCACAAACTATAGTAACAAAAGTTATACCAAAGTAGGCCCACTGGTGTGCTTGCTCTCAAAACACATTATTGAACCCCCTGATGCTTGACAAATCCCAGCTGCCTTCCAGAAACTGAAAGCATACATAGATAACGAGGTCGGGAGGCTAGCATATTGTGATATTTAAAAAAAAATTAAATAAAAAGATGAAGGGGATCATAGTGCAATAAACATCCATTTAGGTCATACAACATTTAGGTCATATAGGGCGAATGAAAAGTAGTTCCCAATCTTATCTGCTTTTGATTCTAGGTGCTAGTAGGAGTCTCCTGGGGTGTGTGTATGTGTGTGTGTGTGTGTGTGTGTGAGAGAGAGAGAGACAGAGACAGAGAGACAAAGACAGAGACACAGAGAGAGAGACACACACACACACACATAGAGAGACAAGAGAGACAAGAGAGGAGAGAGACAGAGAAAGAGAGACAGAGAGAGGCTGGTAGCAGTTAGGCAATGGTGCTCTCTGTCTACTCTAAAAGATCTCAGGGAACGCATCATCAGCATTATCAGAGATCCCATCAAACAAAAGACCCCTCCCTCCTAATCCCATGTGAGCACAGGCAAGGACACGGTTTAACCCAGCTGTGACAAGCACGCCCCCTCCTGGCTGACAGGAGACATTGCTGCATTGCTGCTTTTTAAAGGGGACAGCATCAGTCTCACTCCACTCCCTACCCCTTCAGGGCACTGTCCCAGACAACCCTCCTCCTCAGGAGCATGCCCCCAAATCACCCCAATCCTGACTCCAGCCCCATCCTCACACTCTGCATGTGCCCCCACCCCGGGTCTCCCAGTCACCTCCTGCAGCTGTTAGTGAACCTGGCAATGGGCACCCCTGGGGCTGGACTCACATGCTAGACTTGATCTCCTAAATAAAGCTGAGGACTAGGGCCAGATAGTTACAGGGTTGAAGGTGCTTGCCTTGCACACAGCCAACCCCAGTTAGATCCCTGAGCAGCACCAGGAAGGATCCCTGAGCACAGAATCAGGAGTAAACCCTGAGCATCCACATAGGTTGGATCATGCATTCTCCCCTCTGCCTCACAGCCAGGCTCCCTTGTACAGTGCACCTGCTGCACCACTGTGCACAACAGCCCTTAGCCTACACACATCCTGAACGTGCCACGTCATGACTCCCATCCTGTTATCTCTAGACTAGCTCACCTCCAGGCCTAGGACAAGCAGCTTCTCTTTCACCATGCCCCTCTCCCCAGCAATTCAAACTCAGTCCCATCACCAACTGATCACAGGGTCTGAAAAAGGCAATGCCGGCAACAGAATTTCCTTCCTGGCTTACTGGAAGAGTCCCAACCCCAAGCTGCCTTGACTGCAGGTGGGTTCACTTAGCTAAGTGCAGTTCCAGCCAGGGGAACCATCAGTCCCCCACTGCATTTCAGCATGCCAGGGGCTCTGCGTGTGGAGCCAGAGAGAGCCAGAACACACTCACGGGGCCTTTAGCGCCATTCTCCTCCCGTCCTCCCCTCTGAACACAGACCCAATCTGCTGCCTGCCTGCCCTGGGTGAAGTGTGAGCACTGTCGGCCAATGACTCTCACTGGTCTAAGGCTGCACATAGTGCAGACTTCCGAGGACCCCTCTCCTGCACCACAGCTGAGCTCTGGAAGCTCCTCCTCCACCCCCATAGCTTCTTTAGCATCCTCGAGGTTCAGGGTCCCTCCCTCAGGTCCCCAAGCTTCTGGCCTCTCTAGAAAACCGTTTTCATCCTGGTCTCCCAACTGATTGCTGCATCAATGTCCCTCCACTAGACTGTGGCTATCGGATGCAGCCTCTACTGTCCTGTCTGTGGTCACGGTCACCTCCCAGGATGGCCCTGTGTCAGTCTCTTAGGCACCCTGGGTGGGCATCCTTGTCTCCTGCCTGCAAAGTGGCTTCAGTGGCCCTTGAGGTCCTGCCCCTCCCAGGGAGCCCCTGACTTGGCCAGCCTGCATGTTAAGTGAGTCCCGAACTCAGAGGGTCTCTCCAGGGCTGGGGTGGCTTTTCCTGCAGGCCCCAAGATAAAATAGCCGCGACTCCTGCCTCCAAGCACCTTCCTTGTAAGGTAAGGTAAGGTAAAGGCCCTCCCGTTGATCGTCGATTTGCTCGAGTGGGCCCAGTAACGTCTCCATTGGAGACTTTGTTGTTACTGTGTCTGGCATATCCAATACTCTCGGTAGCTTGCCTTGTACCTCCCAAAAATCTTCCCGGAGTAAAACCCACTTCTGGGAGTATCTGCCTAAAGGGAGCAGGACAGAAAAGGGGGTCTGGAAGGCCCCTCTGACAGCAGCAGCACTACAGGAACTCGGAACCAAGCACATGCTGCTGTTCCACTGTCAATCTCCTCCAGGAAGGCCTCCCTCTCCCAGCACTTGGAGTCTGAGTCCTCCAGGCCCATCTCCTGGTCCTTCTCCTAAGCACCCTCTTCCTGTGCCAAACAGGGGGCTCCTCAGGCACATCCCACACTGGGCACTGTGTCTCGGAACCCCGGGGTCTGCCCTGCCCCACCTGATTTTGAGATCCATGAGAGACAGGACAGGTGGGAGTGGCGGAGCAGAGCGGGATGTTGTCATTTCGGGAAGGAGTGGGCATCACTTACCAGGCTGGACGCAGTCACTTCACTGCAGGACACCCCCTTGGGACTAATCAGGAAGTGGTCCTGCTCCTTGCTGACTCTCAGCTAGGAGAAAGACACACGTATTCGTTCAGTAGCCAGAAGAGGGCCCAGTTCCCAGGACATTTCTGCTTACAGCCTCTCTTGGCCTAAATCTATGGCACCCAAATCTTCCCCCCATCCCCTGACCCCAGAAGCCCTTGTCTCCACCCAACTCGTAAGGGGCCAAGAGGACTTGGACTTTATAGAGAATGAGGGTAACAGTGCTGCCAGAGGAATCTTCCAGTCGAGGACAATACTAGAAGCTGGCTCCAGGAGGGCCTTATCCAGAGGGGTGCCCACTGGCCCAGGTCGTTTCTTTCTGGGGATCACGGAAGTTAGGAACCTAGGAAGGACTCTGTGCATTTCGAGCAAAGACCACCACCCACGCCTTAGCCAAGAATCAGGATGTCTCTGGGTTTTGTGGGCGCCGCGTGCAGACGCTCTCCTCACCGTGACATAGGTGTCGCTGAGTTGAGCCCAGCCATAGAGGTCCAGCAGGCGGTAGACGCTGCTGATCTTGCACCGCATGAGCCGCTCCCCTTTGGCCAGGTTCAAGGAGTCGGCTGTGTGGAGGTCATTGATGGGTGTCATCATGGAGAAGTCTGGAGGGCGACAGGGAAGGGTGGGGTGAGGCAGTGTTTGGGGTCAAGCTCATCTGCTCCTCCATTCCTCCCTGGATTTAGTTCTTGCCCAGTTTTCAGTAGCACTGCCACTGCACAAGAGACATGTCCCATTCCTTCCCTGAATGGAACTAAACATTCTTTGACTCATCCCTGGGGAGAAAAGTCCACAGAATGGAGAGTTGTGCCCAATATAGTCCTCTGCTAATTCCAAGAAGAGTGAATGGTATGCTTCGGGTGAAATACCATGGCAAGACTCAAGACAGAATGAAGGGTCAACATCTGGACTACTACCAACAAAGGGAGAGTGGAAATACACGAACAGGAATGAGAACTGGGCATTAGTTCATCCAGGGAAGAGTTGAAATCATAAAGAAATATTCTAAATGTTTCTAACAATTTTGAAGTGGATTGTTTCATGCAAGGTATCTGTCCAAAATCTACTCATAAAATATCAAAATAGTTTTAGATCCTAATGAAACCAAGAAAGAAAATGCTATAAAAATCATGCAAGCAGGGCTGGAGCCATAGAATAGCAGGTAGGGAGTTTGACTTGTATGCGGCCAACCCGGGTTCAATTTCCAGCATCCCATATGGTCCCCCGAGTGCAAAGCCAGGAGTAACCCCTGTGCATTGCCAGGTGTGGCCCAAAAAGAAAAACAAAAACAAAAATCATGCAAGCTCTGGGAGTTGGATAATGATAAATAGAATCCAAAAAAATTTTTCAAGGAAAGAGTGATTTCCTATTTTATTTAAACTTCATAGGACAAAAAAAAATTAGCATCACTGAGATTCATCTCAATATTAAACACTTTCCCCAAAGTGAAGTTCTGACCAATCTTACTGTAATATGGATATGAAAGCCCTTAATAAAATTGTAGCATCTAGTCCTTAATCAAATCCAGAAGTGTATTTTAACCTTTTAAATTTTGTTTTATTTTGGCTTGAGGCCTCACTAGCAATGCTCAGGGGTTACTCCTGGTGGTGTTTGGGTACCATATGGGATGCTGGGGATTGAAGTTGGGTTGGCTGTGTGCAAGGAAAGCCTCCTACATGCTTTACTATTGCTCCAGCCCCCAGAAGTGTATTTTTAAAATAATGCATCAAGACCAGGAATAATTTATTTCAGGAATGAAAGAAGTTCTATATTCAAAATTCTATTAATATAATTTATCACACCAGTAGTTACAGAGAAGAAAAATCAACTAATGACTAAAATGCACTTTTATAAAACTCAATATACTTTTCTGAAAAAGTTTATATTGAACTATAATAAAATATCTTTCCTCAATATGATAAAGAATATCACTTGTATCACTTGTCATCCCGTTATGCATAAATTTGCTCGAGCCGGCACCAGTAACATCTCCATTTGTCTCTGTCGCATGCTAGCATATCCCAATGGCATATTGGGGGCTCTTTTAGGGGCAGGGGAATGAGACCCGTTATTGTTACTTTTTTGGCATATCGAATATGTCACGGGTTGAAAAGACGTATTTTCAGGCTCTGCTGTTCAGATGGGATACTCTCGGTAGCTTGCCTGACTCTCTGAGAGGAAGAAACTGCATCATTCTCTTCCGGGAGCTTTGTTTTACAGCCTCTGGATCTTGACCATCGATGAGATTACATGGAATAACTATCTATCTCAAACTCGTGTGGTAAATAGAAATTACATTAAGTTCAGAACAAGACAGAATGATGAGCACTATTAAACTCTCTGTTCTCAGAGTTCTAACAGTGAGAAAACTGGAAAAATATATCAAGGGGAAAATGTTGGAATAAAGGAAGCAAAATGACTATATGTGCAGATAAAATGACCTTCCTGTATATAAAACAAAAAATAATTAACTGAACAGATATTAGGATAGAAGAATTCAATAAGAAGCTACTTTCCCTAGATTACAAATAGAACCAAGAAGAAAAACTGAAGGGAGAATCAATTCAAGTGACAAATATGCATATAATTTCCAGGATAAACGTAAGAAATGAATAGGGACTATATAAATATAATCACTAAACTTTTCTAATGAATATTAAATAATTGTTAAATAGAAGACCTACCTCACTTCTGAACAAACTTAAATCCACTCATACTAGTTTTTTAAAACACCAACGTGTGACAGACAATTTTGTACATCAATAACATTATGCTAGCATATAGCAGTGCATAAAGAAAACAGATTCCCTTTCTTCTATGGAACTTACATTCTAATACACGGTCACGGTCCTCCCGTTGTTCATCGATTTGCTTGAGCAGGCCCAGTAATGTCTCCATCATGAGACTTCTTGTTACTGTGTTTGGCATATCGAATACGTCACGGGGAGCTTGCCAGGCTTTGCCGTGCGGGTGAGATACTCTCGGTAGCTTGCCAGGAGCCCTGCTGCTGTGCTATCGCTCCAACCCACATTCTAATAGGAAATTAAATATATATATATATATCCTTAAATTGATCTATTCATTTAAGGATATCCCAACTGAAATCCCAAAAGGAGTTTTTTGTTTGTTTGTTTGTTTTTAAGTAGATGGGGAAATGACAAAACTAAAGTTATTTTAAAGAATGAACCTTTAGGCCTTGCATGTCTGAAGCACTGGGTTCAATCTAGGGACCATAAAAAATAAACAAAATCAAAAGAACAAACTTTTTCAAATAGTTGAGAGAGTTAGACAACTGAATAATTAAGAACATTTGTCCCAAAGAATGATAAAAACTTGAGTAAGGTGTTTTTAAGGATCTAATAAAAAACATAACACATGGAAATAACAATAAATCCAACTACAGGGAAATGAAAAACTTATGAGGCAAAAATATCATGAACCAAATTAACAAAGGAAAAACTGGGAAAAGCATAATGTATCTGACTGATAAGAGGGAAATTGCCAAACTTCATAAGGATTTTAAAACATGTAAGAAAAAAATGGTACAAGTAGGAAAATTGGTAAAGTATGTTAATAGGCAATTTTTTACAGAGAAAATCACACCCATATGTATACATCTTTCTCTAGTCTTGTTAGTAATCAGATATATGCACATTAAAGCACAAATAAGTTTTTACTTATCAAATCATTAAGATGAAACAGATGATAATGAGATGAGGGAAAAGAGTACTCTATTGTAAGTGCAAATGTAAACTGGATCTAACTTTCTCTGGGGGAAATATGGTATTATGCACTAAAATATTTAAAACATAAATATATTTCAAACCAGCAATTCTACACCTGATATTTCTTAGTAAACACAAAATGGGTCAGAAAGATAGAATTGAGTTTAAAAGAGGCTTCCCTCTTTTACAAACCACAACACCCAATAAGAGAGAGAGAACAAAAGGGAATGCCCTGCCACAGAGGCAGGGTGGGATGGAGGGGATGGGGTGTGGGAGGGATACTGGGATCCGTGGTGGTGGGAAATGGGCACTGGTGGAGGGATGGGTATTTGATCATTGTATAATTGAAACCCAAGCACAAAAACGTGTAAGTCTGCAACTGTACCTCATGATGTCTCACTATTAAAAATGAAATAAATAAATAAGTAAATAAAAATAAAAGGGGCTTCCCTTGCATGGGATCTACCCGTTTCCTCCCCAGTATCACATTTGGTTGCCTGAGTATCACCAAGAGTGAACCTTAAACACAGAACTACAAGTAGCACCACCAGGTATGGCCCCAAAACAAAAGGAGAAAAGGAAAAAGAAAACAACCATTGACAGCAGTGGAGAGTCTTTGGTATTCTGGTTGTTGTAAATGAAGACACAGTAAATTCATACAAACAAATGTTAACACTATTGTAACCATATCACCTCAACTACAGAAGAAAAATTAAATTAAAATTTTATTTTAAATAGCCACTGACATAATCATATAATCACGAATTTATTTATAAGAATGCTTATTGTTGGGACCTAGCTCAGGTGTAGAGTATCTGACTACAAAAACATTTATTGAGACACGAACCACCTCTGGCACCATGTAAGTCTCTTTCCAGAGACTCATAAATAAATCTCAAAAGAGATCAACAAGATGCAGATATTCTTCTGGACCCCACACAAGGCTGAGTCATCCAGAATACCTTGGAGGGGCGTGGATGAGCCCAGCACCTGCCCAAACAGAGTCCTGGCAGATGAAAATCTCCATCCTCTACAATCACTGCCATGCTCATGGCTGGACTCCACTGCTTGGGATGAGCCTCATCCAGAAATTAATCTGTTGAAAAACTCAGGTATGTGGGTTTTGTGACTAAAATCTCCAGGTTTTCACAGAATTGGGGGTGGGCTACTTCCCCCCGTTTCCCTGTACTTTCAGAAGTCCTGGCAGTCATGCACACACCCCAAAATGCCACCCAGTTAAAAATTTAACTCTGACTTTATCACCTCACTAAAAATTTTGGACTTTCTAACAAAGTATGAGATTAATACCCAAGAATAGCTGAGATCAGCACCAGGAGGATTACTCCATAACTTAGAGGCCAGCCGGGTATCCTAGAGGAAAGGGCGGTTCAGATAGAGAAGGGAGCACCAAATAAAGGATGTTTGGAGGATCCTCCCAGGAGGGGAGATGCATGTCGAAAGTAGACTATGGACTGAACATGTTTGCCACTCAATGCCTCTTTTGCAGACCACAACACCCAAAAGGAGAGAGAGAACACAGGGGATTGCCCTGCCACAGAGGCAGGAGGGGATGGGGGATGGGGGTGGGGGGGATATTATCCATGGTGGTGGAAAATGGGCACTGGTGGAGGGATGGGTATCTGATCATTGTATAATTGAAACCAAAGCACAAAAAATTATAAATTTACAACTGTAAAAAAATAAAATAAAATAAAGGGGAAAAAATTTTTTGACTTTCTTCCTAGAGTGTGACCGCATTCATGACTACACTACACCTCAAACTCTACAACAACAACTGATAAACCTGGAATAGCACGCCAGATTGGATAAGATCTAATGTAGAAAGTATCCAATCTCAATTAACAAAATATCAACACAGAAGCCTTAACTTGTAACAACATTTTAGTACAACAACATTATACAAGGGCTTAATAGCTCCATGGTGAGGTACACAATTCTCCACTAACTTTCTTCTGAGGAAACATATTTTGATCATTCTTTTAGCAAATTATAAATATAAAGAAATATAAAATAAATTACCAAGGGCTTGTTATGGAGGCAGGCTTAAGAGGTGGTTGGGAAATTAAGAGATAATGGTGGTGGAAGGTGCAATGGAGGTGGGGTTGGTGTTGGTATATCGAATGTCTGTAACAAATCAGCATGAATAACTTTGCAAACTACAGTGTTTATATAAGCTGTAAAGGGAAAATTTTTTTAAAGTTTTTAAAAATGCCTTTCCTATCAGAAAAAAAAGAAAGAAAATTGCTCACATGAGCATACACACAACATGAGAGAAATGAGAAATAACGAAAGAATGAATGAATACCTAAATGGTAGACGCATTTATCCCTAAGTGAGATCATTATTGGTAGTTTCAGTTTTGACATATTTTACTGAGATGAAAAATAAATTTATATTATTCTTCTAATTTATTAAAGTTATAACCAATAAATCAGCATGCCCTAGGAAAACAATTTTTTTAAAGTTTATTGAAATTGTTCATGGCAACAAAACAAACAAACAAACAAAAAAAAACCTAAGTCCCTAAAGTGGGAGTGGATTAAATAATAATATATTCAGCCATGTCACAGAATAACACAAGTCTGGCCAAAATTTTATTATGTAGTCTCATCTTATTATGTGAAATAATAATCAAGGTATGGCAGGGCTATTAATTGTGTATGTTAGTTGTTTGTTTGCATGTGACATATATGTAAAGAGAATAAGGCTGGGGCAGACAAGTAGCACTGTGAGTAAGGGGCTTGCCTTGCATGCCTTGGTCAGTCCCCTGAGTCCCCCAGGCGGGATGCCTGAGAACAAAGCCAGGAGGAAGTACTGAGCACAGCTGAATGAGGCCCCAAATCCAAAAATCTAAAAAAATTAATCATTAAAAGAAAGGGGGAAAGGCTAGAGATAGATACCCAAGTACTGGTAATGGTGATTTTCATTTCCTTTCTGGAATATATTCCTAGTTTTCAATCCTAATCCCGTATTCACCTTGTTTTTTTCAAGTGAATTTATTTTTCAATGCTTGTTTCTTAAAGGTTTGGGGCAGATTTCAGAGCCTAGCAGGGGGCCTCACTCAGTCTTCCCCCTTCCCCTGCCTCCTGCAAGCCCATCACCCTGCTCACTCGGAAGGAGTGGCTTCAGGGGTTCAGGGAAAGAGCTGCCTGAATCAGGATGGTGCTAGGACCTGAGGTTCTGTGCCCAAGTAACAGGGAGCAGAATTCTCTCTCGCTGAGCAGAGGCTGAGCAGAGGCTTCCTCAGGGACCCGCCTGCAGCTCTTCCCTTTGTGCAAATCCACTTACAGGGTGGGTGAGGGAGGCTGCGTCCCCAGAGAAGCCTGCCAGTGTCACATGTTACCCCAGCAGCCCCGGAACCTGGTTCTCCCCCTCAGTCTCCATCCACCCCCACCCGCTCCAGGGAGGATCATTCTCCTGGCAGGGGCAGAGGGGGCTGTGGGGTCTTTAACTCTTGAAGCAGTATCTGAAGCAGTTAGACGCCTCTGACATCTGCTTAGCTCCCCTAGGTCTGCTAATGCAATCGCAGCTCACTGGTAACCTGGCAACCAAATGGCTCCTTCCTCGCTGCACCCCCACCCCCCCCGCCCCCCACCCTGCCACCTCTGCTCCGGCAGCTTCCCCGGTGCCCTACGTACTCATGGAGGATGTTGGGAAGACCGCATGGGAGGTGCTGGCCATGAAGTCCGCAATCTGCCGCAGGGCCCAGATGTTGGAGGAATTGTTCCCTTTCTTCATCTGCTCCTGGATGAGGCCTTCCAGCTCCTCCCTGAAAGACTGAAGCGGACCCCCGACAGGGTGCTGATTCCCCCCATCTCATGTGGGAGACCAAGGTCCCCCTCAGTCAACTAAGGAGCCCTTCCAAGCACCCCACCCTTGGCCCCTGACCAGCAAGAATAGGACCACAGTCAGGATCTATAGGCTCCAGAGGACACTGGACAAGTCCACAGAGCCCCTAAACAGCGCTGTGGGAAGTCACAGGATCCTGTTCCATTGCCCCCCTAGGGATTAGTCTACACTCCAGGTCTTTTTTTTTCTTTTTTAGGTCACACCTGGCAATGCACTCAAGAATTATTCCTGGAGGTGCTTGGGGCACCATATGGGATGCTGGGAATCAAACCCCGGGTGGCCACATGCAAGGCAAACACCCTCCCCGCTGTTCTATTGCTCCAGCCCCAACACTCCAGGTCTTTCTTGGGTCTAAGTTAGGGCAAGGACCCCTCTGCACAGATATGTGCCACATGCCTCCCCACCAGCCATGCCTATGGCTGTCTAGGCCCCTGGACGGATCCAGGTTTTCCGACCTGAGGACTGATCTGGTTGCCTCTGACAAGGCATCCACTTCTAGGGTCCTCTTAATCTAGGTTCCGCTTTTCAGACCCCAGTCATCAATCAGGCATGCCTGCCTACCAGGGGCAGCAGCAATGCCCAGGGGGACCAGGTTCCAATTAGGGAAACCAGGAACCCACTTTTATTGGTAGCAACCTATCAAAGGACATATGTGGGACCTCCTCCTCCCCTATCTCCTTCTTGAGAGTAATTCCTTTCACTCAGGCCCCCCAATGTAGGGGTGCTAACGCTGCCACTTCTCCAACCACATACTGGGGGGTGGAGAGTGGGCAGTCAGTCGCCTCACCCCCCTGTGTAAACATCCGGCATCTTCCAGACTTTCCCACAGTGTCACCTGTCATCTCCACTTCAAGTCCCAATTCCTCTGTGAGGAGGCCAGAGTACTCACTACCAAGGCCGGCCACAGTCTAACACATGCCCTGGCTCCCCAAAGCCCAGTGGCACAGGGATGGGACACTGAGCAGGGCAGGGGCTGAGACAGAGCTGGGCCCCTGTCCTGGGCCCATTCCAGCCGGCATCTGGGAACACCAGCTTCCCGCTGGGATCCTGCACCATTTCTTGAGGATCCCCCTTCCCCCTTCTCTACGGAGCTCAGTGTCCCCCTTGCTCCTCCAGACCCTCTTCCTAAGGTGGTGTACTGGGTCCACACTGTCCTCCTCACAGCCCCCTGCCTGGCCACAGCAGCTGACCCCAAGACTAAGTCTCAGCTGTGGCTCTTCCCCGACCTGGTGCCCTTCGCTCTCTGGAACCCTCCTCTCCACTCACACTCGGAGGGGGTGTCAAAGTCGTTTCTGTTCAGTTAGTGAATTCTTTGTAGTGTTCAGAGAAGGGGGAGCCCCAAACTTGCACAGGGAGCCTCCTGCTAGACTCTGGTAAAAACAAAATTGTCAGTGGCAGCTTTTGGTGAGGTGGGAAGACTGGAAATCGGGGTTCAGCACTAGAAACTGAAGCGGGGTTTCATCTCTCTGACCTCCCGGCTCCCACCCCACTCCCCCAAGCCACACCAAGTTGTGCCACCTTCCAAGGATTGGGGAGCGAGTCAGACATCCCCAGTTGTCAGACAAGTTTCAAGTCTCAAGTCGCTGGGCAGCGGGGCCAGGACAGGGTGGCCGAGCTCACCGGGCTCTGCAGGATCATGGTGACGCGCTTCTTCTGCTCCATCAGGTTGAAGTCCTGCCGCAGGTCAGCTGCACGGTGGCGAAGGCGCAGGTACTCGGGGTCCTCCTCGGAGGAGAAGCGGTCGAAGTACTGCTGGCCCTGTGCAGGTGGTGGGGAGGCAGCCTCGGAGGCAGCCTCGGGGGCCGACTCTTCACTCATTTTCCTGGAGGCTTTTCCAGGGCACTCCTGAACGCCTGCAGAGAAAGACACCAGGACGGTGGGCGGGCAGCAGGGGCCTCTCAGTCGGGGAACACGCTTCCCCAGGCAGAGGCGTTGGTGCTGGCTGGATCCCGAGAGTGATGCTGTCACTCCCAGGACGGGCCCACAGAACGTGGCACGATGCAGACAGGGCTGGTTGTTGGCTGAGGCATCACCAGGGCCCAAGGGCGGGGGTTGGGGGGGAGAGGAGGGGCAAGTGCCCCGATCCACCACCTCCCCACTTGGCCAGATGCTGGGACCATGTCACCCTGCACTTCCCCGAATGGGGAGCTGGCTGCCGAGATCAAAGGTGCCAGCGATGCCTCTGCTGGGCAGGACCTCCTGGAGGGCATCTTGCCTGTGACTCTCACGGAAAATACCAGAAACCCCCATGAGGGCATTCTACCATGTCCTAAAGATAATAGGAAGGTCTCTTGTCACTCATAATGAGCCCCTTTCACCACACCTGATGAGCAGGGAGGAATTAGACTCCCTTAAAGAGTTATAACTCAGCCCTGCCCCAGTCATGGTGGGGGATAGGGAGTGAAGAGGAGTTGGGAGGTCTGAAGGGGAGGGGAGGAGGGAGGGCAGGTGAGATGGGAGAAGAGCTAGAGACAGAATTCATTCCAGTGGCAGATGATGAATCAATTACGCCTACGAACTAATTGTCCCTCTCAACCATGTACCCTCCCACTAAAAATCTGTGGACACTGAAGTTTGGGGGAGCACCCAGGCTGGCAAGCACATCTCTGTGCTGGGGCTTGTGATACCCTGAATCCACAAGGAGATGACTCAAAGCTCTGCACTGTGCCTAAAACCCCATAAAAGTCTGCCCTGTGCATTGCTTTGACTGTGCCTGAGTGGCATCCTGTATAACAAGGTCATGATCACTTTCAGAGAAATCTGTTGAGTTTCTCAGGAATCAGGGAGATTGACTGGGGGTGTGAAAAGCCCCAGGTATATAGTCAAGTTGGTCAGAAATACATGTGGTCTGAGATCCTAGTTGTAGCTGGTGTCTGAAATGGGGCTGTCTTGTGAGGACCTGGCCCCTTTACTTGTGGGTGTTCACTGAATGTTCTTTAATGCAGAGCAATTTAGTGTCAGGATTGAATTCTAGAACACCCAGATGGCATCCGAAGAGCTGGGGACAGAACAGCACCCGGCAGCTTCTATTTGTGGCTTCTTTCCATTCCGGGGACCACTCCACAAGACAGACAGGATTGTTCCTGTTTCTCAGAGACATGAATCACACCAAGAAACTGCCTGAGCCCATGCAGATGCAAATGAAGTCAGGATCCCAGTCAGGACTACCTCTGGTCCGGGTTCTATGCTTCCCCTATACAACTTTCTCCAAACATCTATTGGGCTGCCTTGTAAGTGAAGAGATTAGGCTGTTTGCTTAGAATCCACAAAAGGCCAGAGCAGAAAGTATTTGTGGAGGGAGGGTCTAAAGAACTTTCCACCAGTAGGAGTTGCTCAATCAGGGAAGATGGAGGAGGCTGCCACTGAGCTTTTACCTCCAAATCAGAGGGCTGGAGAGGGAGACTGGCTTCTTTGGGGAGGAGAGAGGGTTGGCCTAGTCACCTTAAAGTTCCTTTAAATTCCAAGGTAGCTCTTGAATCAGCAGAATTGGGGGAGTTGATGTGAGTTGGATCTAGCCTGCCTCATCCCCTCCCTAACTCGTAACCACCCACATGAATGGCTCCTTACCAGGAGGCTGGGCCAGCCTTGTCCTTGCCTCCCTCTTCTTGGCGTTTGGCCTGCACGCCTGGCTCCACACTCGGGAACAAAGACCACACTACAGGCACTCAGCATCCAGGCGGAAACTGGAAAACACGAGCAGGACCAAAATCAGGGTCTTGTCCATACCATGTGACTCTTCACACCATTCTGCAGCATCTTTTTTTAAAATTTTTTAACTTTTATTAGTGAAACACCATGAGGTACAGTTGTGGACTTACAAATTTTTGTGCTTGGGTTTCAGTTATACAATGATCAAGTACCCATCCCTCCACCAGTGCCCATTCTCCACCACCACTAATCCCAGTATCCCTCCCACCCCCCATCCCCCCATCCCACCCTGCCTCTGTGGCAGGGTATTCCCTGGAGCGATAGCACAGCGGGTAGGGCGTTCGCCTTACAAGCGGCCAACATGGCCGACCCGAGTTCGATTCCTCCGCCCCTCTCGGAGAGCCCGGCAAGCTACCGAGAGTATTCGATATGCCAGACACAGTAACAACAAAGTCTCCAATGGAGACGTTACTGGGCCCGCTCGAGCAAATCGACGATCAACAGGAGAGCCTTTACCTTTTACCTTTACCTTTTGGGTGCTGTGGTTTGCAAAAGAGGCATTGAGTGGCAATCATGTTTGGTTTATAGTCTACTTTCAGCATACATCTCCCATCCTGGGTGGATCTTCCCAACACCCTTTATTTGGTGCTCCCTTCTATATCTGAGCTGCCCTTTCCCCCAGCATGTGCGGCTGACCTCCAAGCCATGGAGTGAACCTCCTGGTACTTATCGCAGCCATTCCTGGGTGTTGGTCTCCCATTTTGTTGCTTTATGTTCCCCAGATAAATGCAATCTTTCTCTGTGTATCCCGCTTTTTCTGACTCATTTTGCTTAACATGATACTTTCCACGTAGTACCACTTGTATGTAAATTTCATGACTTCATCCTTTCTAACAGCTACATAGTACTCCATGGTGTAGATGTACCAAAGTTTCTTTAACCAGTCATCTGTTCTCGGGCACTCAAGTTTTTTCCAGATTCTAGCTATTGTAAACAGTGCAGCAATGAACAAACAAGTGCAGATGTCACTTCAACTATACTTTTTTTTTTTTATTGAATCACTGTGGGAAAGGTTACAAAGCTTTCAGGTTTATGTCTCAGTCATGCAAATATCAAACACATTTCCCTTTACCAATACTTATTTTTTACCATGAAGAACCCCAATAAAACCCCACCCCCCACCCCTCCCCGTCCCTGTGAGGCAGATGAATTCTAGTTAACACTCTATCTGCTTTGATTAGATTCATTGTTTCAATAAAAGATTCACCACTATTATTTAGAGTTTACCCCCCCCCCCCAATCAGACATGCTGAAAAAGCATTGTGAAGTGATTTGCTTTCTACAGCTGGGTTCAAGAATTAAATGTTGGTTTTGGATTTCTGCTATTTTACCTATTGACCCTGGAAGTATTTCTACTGAAAGTCAGATAGTTAAGAAATTGGTTTCTGTGTTCTAGAGTCGTGGCCGTGCTGGAGAGCCGCTTGCGGGGGGCAACCGGTGGCCTCGGTAGGGCGTGAAGGGCGGAGCGAAACGCCCCCCTTCCCATGAGGTTTTAGTCGCCCCCACACTCCCGGCTCATACCTGCTGTCCACAAGGCTCCCATGTGGCCGCCATCTTTCTTTCCAGAGAGGAGAGGGCGAATGGGGCAACACCTTTTCCCCTCCGGCAGACTTGATGGGCTGGATCAATGCATAGTCCGTTCACTTTTCTGCTCCAAGCTGCTGGGTTCTGCATTAAGTCCTTGTGCTTCTGGGGCCGTGGCTGTGCTGGAGAGCCGCTCGTGGGGGGCAACTGGTGACCTCGGTAGGGCGTGAAGGACGGACCGGAACGCCCCCCTTCCCATGAGGTTTTAGTCGCCCCCACACCCCCGGCTCATACCTGCTGTCCACAAGGCTCCCATGTGGCCGCCATCTTTCTTTCCAGAGAGGAGAGGGCGAATGGGGCAACACCCTTTCCCCTCCGGCAGACTTGATGGGCTGGATCAACTCATAGTCCGTTCACTTTTCTGCTCCAAGCTGCTGGGTTCTGCATTAAGTCCTTGTGCTTCTGGGGCCGTGGCTGTGCTGGAGAGCCGCTCATGGGGGGCGACTGGTGACCTCGGTAGGGCGTGAAGGACGGACTGGAACGCCCCCCTTCCCATGAGGTTTTAGTCGCCCCCACACCCCCGGCTCATACCTGCTGTCCACAAGGCTCCCATGTGGCCGCCATCTTTCTTTCCAGAGGGAGGAGGGCGTCTTCAACTATACTTTTTGCCTCTCTGGGATATATTCCCAGGAGTGGTATTGCTGGGTCAAATGGGAGCTCAATTTCTAATTTTTGGAGAATCATCCATACTGTTTTACAAAAGGGCAGAACCAGTCGGCATTCCCACCAGCCGTGAAGGAGGGTCCCTTTCTCGCCACATCCGCGCCAACACCTGTTGCTTTTGTTCTTTTGGATGTGAGCTAGTCTCTCTGCAGCATCTTTAGGTGCTGATTAATTTATAGGACTACTGAGACGTTCTTAAAAACGAACTTGAAAGAAATTTTTATTTTCAAAGCCATGTTTAAACAAAGTTTTATTTTAAAAGCCATGTTTAGACCAAAGATACATGGTCAAGAAAGTGGAAGTAAGGATAAGCCAATGGGATTACATCAAATTAAGAAGCTTTTGTACTACAAAAGAAACAATGACCAGAATAAAAAGACGCCCCACAGACTGGGAGAAATCATCTGCCCACCACCCATCTGACAAAAAGGTTAACATCCAAGATATATGGAGCACTGGTAAAACTTAATGATGACAACAACAAATCTACCTCATTAAAACTTGGAAAAGGGGATGGAGCAACAGCATAGTGGGTAGGGCATTTGCCTTGCACGTGGCCCACCCAGTTCGATTCCCAGCATCCCATATGGTCCCCTGAGCACTGCCAGGAGTAATTCTTGAGTGCAAAGCCAGGAGTAACCTCTGTGCATCGCCAGTATGACCCAAAAAGCAAAAAATAAAAAAAATAAAAAACTTGGAAAGAATAGATGAACAAAAACTTCCTCAAAGAAAACATACAGATGACAAGTAGGTATATGAAAATAAGTTCTGCATCACTTATTGTTGGAATATAGCTCCAAATATTTTAGGCTTAACATTGATTTGCCCTTCCCCCCTGACACGAGGAACTCAGGTATATTACAGTGCTCCTGAGGCACTTCCATTCCATTGTGTTTATCTGTAAATTCTTCCCTATTCTCTCCTCCCCCACCAGTTAATCAGCTTTTTCCCCTAATCAGACTCTGTTAACTTGTAAGGTTAAATTCCTCAGAAATCTATGATTTTATATGTATGAGTGAAATACTGCCTTTCTCCTCTCCTTATGTCTTTTGAATAGTTTACTTTAATGCAATATCCTTTTTGTATAGATACAGAAAGACGGTTAATATTATGTTTTTGTAACTTAGGATTTAATTGGCTTTGAATATTATTCACTCCCGAGCATCTGCTTTCTCGACTTAAGCCTCAGTTGCCCTTGGTTCCTAACACCCCAAAAGCAGGGTCCTGACGAGGTACTGAATGGACCCAGGGCAAGTGGTGGGCTACTCTGGCATCGAAATGGGCCAGGCCAAAGTGCCACGATTCTTAACTATAAGTTAAGAGTTTGATCATAGACAAATGCTGTCATGATCCAAAAGTAACGACGAGACTAGGACCCTGCTAGAGATGGGAAAGACTATCTGTCCTAAGCACTGTAGTCTGAGATCGAGATGGCCCTAGGAGGGCAATTCTATAAGTTTAAGGTATTTCTTACTGTATCCATACAAAATGATTTATATTATATATGCTTATATGTTTGTTAGACAAGGAGAGGAGAAACACACCCAGGGGAATCCGCTCTAAGGTGGATTGATCTGTCCTAGGAGCGGATGTCCCCAAGGGAGAGAACTCTACCCCTATTGATTGTGATTGCACCTATGTGTAATTGTTACCCCAATCCCTCAGGCTGTGGGATATAATGAGACTGTAGGAATGGGCAGAAAGCGGCAGAGGAGAGAGAGGAATGAATGGAGAGAGGATTGGAATAAACTGCAACTAAGACCAAGCAGCCTGTCCCTCATTTCCTTCCTTCGCCTGCCCATAGCCACCGACCTCCCCGGAACAGGGGAAGCAGATGAGACTACCAAACACTGGCGCTGGCGGTGGGACAGACAGACCGCTGCCGCTGCTGTGCCTTTTTTGAGTTTACACAACTTATCATGAGGGAAATGCAAATCAAAGCAACATCTCATACTAATGAAACTGGCACATATCAAAAAGAACAAAATAACCAATATTGGCATAGATGTGGGGGGAAAAAGAACCCTCATCCACTACTGATGGGAATGTCAACTGGTCCAACCTTCTTGGAAAACAGTATGGATACTTGTCAAAAAACTAAGAATTTAACATACATATGAACCAGCAATTCTATTTCTGGGCTTCTACCCGAAGGCCCCAAAAACTCTATTCAAGAGCTGGAGAGATATTGTAACAGGGAGGATGCTTGCTTTGCATGTGGCCTACTCAGGTTTGGTCCCGTGTATCCCATACAGTCCCCCGAACACTGCCAGGAGTAATTTCTGAGTGTAGAGCCAGAAGAAACCCCTTAGGATCATCAGGTATGGCCCCCCCCCCAAAAAAGACACCTTTATTCAGATAAGACATATGTGCTTCTATGTTCATTGCCACACTATTCATAAGAGTCAAAATTTAGAAACGACCTAAGTGTCCAAGAACAGATAATTGAATATAGAAACTATGCTACCTATACACAATAGAATACTGGGCAGCTGTAGTTGAAAAGATAAAATCATGCAAGCTGCCACTATGCGGAGGGAACTGGAGAGTCTCATGCTGAGTGAAGTCATCCAGAAGGAGGACAGACACCTCTCTCATATGTGTGATATAAAGAAACATGTAGGGGAATAACAAATGCCCAAAAGTAATAGAAACTAAGAACCTTCTACAGAATGAAACTCGCCATTGCAGTAAGATATGGGAGGGGGTTGGGGTTAGGCGAGAGAGT